CAGAAAACGAAAGCTTAGATGAATGTGTTTCTCAGAATGCTGAAAATGAGGATTATCACTATGGTTACTATGAAGACTATGAAGACACTTTTAATTATGGTGATGGAGTTGAACCAGAAACAGTGGAAGTTTTGAAGTACAAAATATTTGGTTTAATCTTGGCTATTAGTAAAGCTGGTGAATTTTCTCATGATGCACAGCATTATTTAGTGACCATATTAAGTGTTTGTAGCATAGATCAGAGAAAAGAGTTAATGAAAGTTAGAGAAAGTATATATAATCCACTAACTTTAGCCTGTAAACTGAGAAATCTGGACTTGGTCAAGTTTTTTGTGGAACATTGTGAATCTGATGTAAATGGTGATAGCTGTAGAGGGAGGCCATTACTTTGTGCTGTGACAAATGGTGATGAAGATATAGTCCACTATTTACTTGAATGTAATGCAAACATCAACATTCATTATGCTCCAAACTACAATTTGCTGATGCTTGCTTTAAAGCTATTCCCAGAAGAAAAGTTTGATACCTTTGGCTATGAAGCTATTCGTGATTTTAAACAACATGAAGAAGATAAAAAAGATAAAAAGAAACTTTTTAATCAAATGATTCATAAAACGGAAATTGTGAAAATGCTTGTTGATAAAGGGGCAATTGAGAAATGTACTAAAGCTCAAATATTTTACATATTAATTTCAATGTTTGATGAAGAATTGTGTATACCCAATTCTTCACAGAAAATTTTACTTGACAAAATTCCAGACTTTGGAAACATCAGGAACACAGATGGCATGACCATATTAGGATATGAGATGATTCACAGATGTTCCTACATGTCAGAATTTCTTAAACCCTTCCTGGAAAATGACAACAATATTAACACAGCCAATGTTCTCCGATTCTATTTTGTTCCTGAAAGTTCTAATAGCATTGAAAACAATGTAGATGCTGTTTTAAAATCATTTATTATTGATAGAGAAACTAATGAAGCATGTACATGTCAAATTAAAGACTCTCACAAGGAACTTCCAGTATATGTTCATCTACTTGTGTATTTTGCTAGTTATGGGAGATTTTCTTGTTACTTCAAAATTTTAGAGATGCCAGAAATACCTTTTGAAGCTAAGCTGAATAGTATAGAAATGTTGGGAACATATTGCCATGACCATATGCAATCTATGTATGCAATTCGCTGCTGGAATTCTGCAAATAAGATAAGACAATTAAGATGTCTCCGTATGACTAGGAATAGAATGTACCACACAAGGATACACACTTATCAGAGAAATACGTCCATCTTTGAAAGAGGAGACATAGATGAAGATGCAGTTCCTGGTGCATCTAATGGTAATCCATTGTTAAAATATTTCGGGGATGCGGTAGATAAGGCCATACATATTGTGAATCAATGCTATGATAATCTAGTGCGGCAGAATAAGGTTCCAGATTTCACTGTAAATTCACCAAAATGCACATTCGTATCACTTCTAGAAAATCATATGGAGGAAGCTGAGGAAGATTTTATGGTGGATACAGACATGCTACTGATGCTGAGAAATGCATCATTTTATCAATGTTTGATTGGATTTGGAGATTTCGGTACATTAAGAGCATTTAAATGTTTGGCAGATGAATTATACAAAAGGGAGAGAACCCAGGCATACGTAGCAATGGTAACATACAGTTTCCCTTATTTTGTAAAGTACCTCCCAAATGAAGAGAGTCTAAGTATCTTTGACAAGAAGTTATACTTAAGTAAGATAATTGCAAGATTGATTAAGATTGTTGTGAATAAATGTTCACAATTGACCTTTGACCTTCTGATGGCAATATGGAAATGTTGTTTTCTGGAATGCTGTGTCACACCAAGAAACCAGAGAAAATTTCTAGAATTTGCATCATTGCTTGTGATGATGAAGATAATGGCTAGAAGGAATAAGACAGCACAAGAGAGTGGAAGATTTTCAGAGTTTATGAGGAATGTTATTAAAGCTGATCTAAGGAATTTATACGGTCAAACATTGTTACATTACACAGTACCTACCTTGTCAAAAGACACGGTCAATACATGGATGTCGTATGAAAAAAGTCCTTTAATATGTAATTTCTCTGGATCTGTTGAAATGATTAAACTGTTGCTAGCTTTCGGAGCAGACCCAAATGCCTACGATGACATGGGCAAGACACCTCTTCATTTTTGCTTCATGTTAATGTATGATGACATTGAAAATGAGGAAGATGGGATTGGCGTAAATAGTCCAGAAGAGGTAGTCCAAACCCTTTTACAGGGTGGTGCTCATCCAGATAGTGTTGATTATTCAAACAGTACTCCGATTGAGATATCCGAAATATCAGAATTTCCTCTATGTCAAGTGTCAAATCGCACCCTACAATGCCTTGCTTCAAATGTAATTGTGAACAAGAAGATAAAATTTCATGATCACCTGCCGCCACATTTAGTTCAGTTTGTTGAAATGCACAAGAAAAAAGGTAAACCAACAGCAATGAGATTTCCTGAACATTTCTTTGGCTTTTCAAGTGTATTTTGGGCATGAGTTCATGCTGTTGTTTGTTTTTTGAAATACATCTTCTTGCTTTAAATGTTTCACAGCTGTTTATTTTTTTTACCTTTGCTGCCAACTGCAAAAGTGGGTCTAGAGACCACTACACCTCATCTGTTAGTATGTCTAAAAGACCTTGGGTAGACAACTTTTCTTTGCTTCTATATTTCATGTATTTGGTATTGAGCTTTGTAATGTTGAGTTGTAGCCTGCAAGCTAATTTTACAACCTCAGTGTTGACAAGCTAGTGATACAGTAGTTGAACTACTTAGACCACTTGGCCAAATATCTCCTAGAATTCTTATTTAAAAATTACACATGTATCTATACAGTAGTTGAACTACTTAGACCACTTGGTCAAATATCTCCTAGAATTCTTATTTAAAAATTACACATGCATCTATACAGTAGTTGAACTACTTAGACCACTTGATCAAATATCTCCTAGAATTCTTATTTAAAAATTACACATGTATCTATACAGTAGTTGAACTACTTAGACCACTTGGTCAAATATCTCCTAGAATTCTTATTTAAAAATTACACATGTATCTATACAGTAGTTGAACTACTTAGACCACTCGGTCAAATATCTCCTAGAATTCTTGTTTGAAAATTACACATGTATCTGTTTTTTTCTCAATTAACTTAGGACACAGATGGCTATATACATTATATAGTGCTGAATTAACTTACACTAATACTATTGCCATACCACGGGATTGGTTGTCCATCTTAGATTGTAATATAAAGATGATGATGGTGGATTGTTGTGTAATGTCAAGTGGCAAATACTACATGCAGATGATCATGATGATGATGTATAACTGTTTAATATCCAATGGCAAATTAAATATATACTCGGGTAGAGAACATGTTTTATAAAAAACACTTCCTTGATAGAGGGTTGCTGAAAGACATTGTTCAATTTCAAAATTTTTCATTCTGTCAATTTATTTTAATTTTTCTATGTTGTGGTTTGTAACTTGTTTGTCTTGGTTGTTTTTGTTTTTTTTTAGCCATGGCATGGTCAGTTTGTTGACATTTTGAGTTTGAATCAATATCTCTTGGGTAACTTCTGCCTCTCTTTTAATGTTTAATATATGAATATGAACCCTGCTTTGAACAAGACTGACATGCGAAGTAGAATTTTAAACATGCTAGTTTACATGGTAACGATCTCAGGAAGATATTGCAACCTACTTACACATTATTCTGACTGAGCCAATCAAGCCTTTCCTCTTACTCTCAAATGTTGAGTGCTTAGAATGGATGCTAAAACCTACTAATTTATAAGTCGTTGTATTGAACCCCGCAGGGATCAAACTCATGATCTCCAACACTCGAGAACACAATACAATCCAGGCTGAGTTTGTCTCAGAAGTGAAAAAGGCCACTGTATCTCAAAAGAATGAGTGTTCAAACAGATCAGTTTATATAATCAATACCAATACTAACTCGGTTGTTGTCTCTTTGACACATTCCCGGTTTCCATTCTCAATTTTAACTGATCATTATACTTCTGATGTTCTGTAAATCTGTATTCAAAACATGATTTGGTGTCTCTGTACACAATTTTTTACACGTTTCTGGATAAACCTTCGTCAGGTAGGCTCATGTTTAAAAAGTTAAGATCGTCCTGAACATGCATGAAATATTTGCCACTGGACATTAAGCAACCAGCAATCAATCAATCGATCAATTAAAAGTTAAGAAAGCCAAAAATATGCAATTTTGAAAAGCATAAAAATCAACAGGGCCTTTACAGAATAGCTAATACAACTTTGGGACAACTTTGCCTGAATGAGTAAAAATTTAGCTAATTATAAAATGTGAATCTACAATGGACATATACTGTTGCCAAGAAACCCTATCATCATACAAACACAAATTAAATGCATAAACAAATATCTTAGTAAAACTTGTGTATAGATAATACAGATGTTGGGTATAGATAGGTTTCAATTAACACAATTTGAGCAAGCGTTTCTTCCCTTTAGTCGCGATGTTGGAGGTCTTAGTGCACAATTCCTTCATAAATCAGCCAAATTCAACATGTTATACTGACCGCTAGACTTAAGGAAAAGACTTTTTTAGAACAATTTTTATTTCTTTAAGCCTTGCTTAATTCATCACTACGTACTAGTAAGGATCTCATATCAGACTTGTGTGTATGGAATGTTTCAATTTTTTGGGTAGTAAAAATGAAAACCAAGTGTTTATCCCTAAAAAAAAAAGACCGCCAGGGGAAATAAATTGTACTTAAATTACGTCATTTGAAACATATCTATACATCAAAGAGACATCAACCCAACACCCCAGTAACTAAAAGATATCAAGAGATAAACATCCAGTCTTCAACAAAAGATACAGATCCGTGCCGAAACAAAATATCAAACCCTAAATCCCACTGAGAGTGCACATGATTTAAAATAGCTGAAACAAATTTTATTTTTTATTTGTAACAAGAAATTAAAAAAATAACACAATATATAAACATCTGTATATATATAGTTTTAATTGATGCATTACAAATACAGACAACCAAAATTTCAGTGAAATATAAGAAAAAGTAAGAATACTTTTCTGCATATCATACAGTTGTTTGAATCCTATTCCACTGATTATCTAAACCTTGATTGGTACTATAAACACTAGTATTTTTCACCAGTAAAAGTAATTCTCTATCAAATATAGTTATCACAAGCTACAATATTGCAAAAGATTATTCACACTTGGAATATTTAGTTCGTTAAATGCAGTGCCAAACTGGGTAACACCTTAGTTTCGTGACGTCTGAGTTCTTCCTGGAAATTTTGATTTCAATGGCTATTTGCTCTTTAAATATTTCATTTAACAATTGAATTTTTTTTTTCTTGAATGGCCAAGAAGAACAATTAAAAAAAGATGAAAGCTGTTTTTTTACCCAATAAAAAGAAGATAAAACTGTTATATCAGCTAACAAGAGGAAGATCACTCAATCAAAAGAAAGATAAAAACTATTATACCACCCAACTAAAGGAAGATAAAAACTTTTATATCTCTCAATAAAGAAGTTAATAAAAAACCAATAAATTACAATAACATATACATACTGGTATATATACCAGTTAGAGCATTGTACAGCAATAACAAAAAATAAATAAAAACAACAAAGGTATGTAAACAAACAAAACTGGTAAATCACAATAAAAAATATTGACAAAACAATAAATAAAACTGAGATTCTCGGTAAATATGTTGAAATATGCACAATATAATGAACTGTATATTTAAACTTTCCATATAAATAAAACATCTTAATCATAAAGTTGATTAAAAAATATTTTAACAACTCGTACAATTTTCAAAGATCACATTAAAAAAACAGGAGACCGCGATGAACAAATTTATTCATCAGACAAATATTCCGTTAGAAGAACAAATTCAGCTACCGATAATTAGGATACTATTTCAAACATTCAATCTTATTTACATACTGTTTATTTAAAAATTTTAATTTTTAAAATGTATGCCCTCTTCAATTGTATATATATCTTACATTTTAATGCCAATGAGACTAGTACTAAAAATTTAAACAGGACAGAAAAATGCTTTCTTGTTTAATAATCTTTAAAGGATAGTTAGATACTGGCCTTACTAATGAAAATTACTGTCAATATAGATGGGTTTCATTTGACACAATTTGAGCATGAGTTACTTCCCATTTGTCGCAATGTTGGAGGTCTAAGTGTGCAAATTCCATCATAAATCTGCCAAATTCAACTTGTTATACTGACGCTAGGCTTTAGATAAAAGGTTTTTCTGAACAATTCAGTGGTGGATACAGAAATTTTCATAAGGGGGGGCCCACTGACTGCCTAAGAGGGGGCCCCCGCTCCAGTCATGCCTCAGTGATTCCCTATATAATCAACCAAATTTTTCTTTTAGCCTTGTTTAATTCATCACTAGAATCTAGCAAAGGATCTCTTATCAGACTTATGTGTATCACATTACAATTTGATGTCCACAGGAAAAAACTCAACATCAAATTACGTCATTCAATTAATCTCATAAAAATGACTCGAGTACATAATCTGATAAAAAATGACTAGTTTGTTTAATTGTATTAAACCTTTATATACAACCATAAAAGTTAAGAAATAACATTACAAAACACCGAAATGTTTAATTGTACTCTATGTAATTTTAATCCAGTAGGATTAAATGGGAATTTTATTTCGAATACTGTTCACAACGATAAATGCAATTCTTACATTATCTGATTTTAGACACAAACAAGAATGTGTCCATAGTACACGGATGCCCCACTCACACTATCATTTTCTATGTTTCTATGTATGGACCGTGAAATTGGGGTCAAAACTCTAATTTGGCATGAAAATTAGAAAGATCATATCATAGGGAACATGTGTACTAAGTTTCAAGTTGATTGGACTTTAACTTCATCAAAAACTACCTTGACCAAAAACTTTAACCTGAAGCGAGAAAGACAGACAAACAAATGGACGCACAGACCGAAAAACATAATGCCCCTCTACTGTCTTAGCCTCTTAGGTGGGGCATAAAAAAAAAATAGACGCCAAACCATATTTTGTTACAACCAACATGAAAATTTAAGTATAACATACATAATGAAACACTTTGGGTACTAAGCACAACATTTACAGCACCAAATAATATAAACCATATTCATAAATAAAATCTGCTGTGCCTAGCATTAGATGACTGCAACCCATAAAAATCGGTTTATCATATAGTAAAAAGTAGATTTGTCAATTTTTGTGTCGGGAGAATATGAAGGATAAAAAAAAACAATTTTGAGAGTGTATTTTTAACCGGAATTCTGTTAATTTTTCCAGCCAGCTGGTTCAAGTCACTTTAACAGTGGTTAGATCATTAAATTTTTTCAGCACTAGTTTTTGATAAATATTAGGCACAAATTCATTAACCTTTATAGGCCATAACAATTTCCTATTTTGTCTACTTGATCTCTGTTTTGATCTAGTTTTCCTAAAAAAAACTGTTAGCTTACTTTCAATATATATATATAACAAGCAAATATTTTTTTTTACTTTTGATGTTAATAAAATAAGTTTTTAACATTATTTGACATGAGTTTGCCTGACACAATTTAATGAGTTCTAAGTTGCAATTCGGCCCAAATCCTTAAATATTAATATATCTATTTCCATTTTAGATCTTAAATTTTAAAACAGGCCTTAAAATCAGATAATTAGTTAATTTATTCAGAATATCACTATCACCATTTCAAAATATGTAAAAAATTGATCAAGTAAACTTCTGAAAAAAAATATAAATTGTTAGTTACAAACATATACCATAATACAGTCACACATTTTAACATCCATATAAAATAATATACAAATAATAAATTGGATTTCAATATACCCACATTGTATATAAATGTACACACCATCTTCAAATGTATAAAACTAGATAAAATTGATATGTGAAAAAGCTATAGATTTAAGTATACCAAATCTCCTTATTTTTAAACTATGTATCAAACATTGAGTTCTTATTATTCACTATGAAAATCTTTCCAAGTTAAACTAAATTTCAATAAGACAGAGATAATTTCTTTTTAATTCCTCTAATTTGTCTTTAAAATTGATACTCAAAAGCACTTTTTATCAGTAAATCAGCTGAAAATTTAATATTGAGAGGTGGACAAGGGGGCAGTAATTCCCTCATTAATCCTCCCACTTTCCTCTTCACTTATTTCTTATTCTATCTGGCATCCTTCATTTCAGTTCCCAGAACACTTACTCTTGCCATCCATGTCTAATCCTTAATTACTAACAAATTTGCTTATTTTCCTCTTTTGTTTAAATTATGGAAGACTGCTCATCATTAGCAAAATAGCAATATAGTATTATGACATTATAAAATTAATTTTGATTTATTTATTTATCTAAAGGATTGACAAAGAGAGCAATTATTAAATCTTTGATTTAAAGAAAGAAAGAAATATAAATAATATATTCTCCTATTCTCAATTTTCCCAAAAATGTCCTTCCACATTATATTACCTTTATTTAGAAACTGGCAGAATTATGTAATTATAAAAACATGAAATCAATGAAAGTTTTATAATATAACATGATTGATTGATTGTTGCTAGCTTAATGTCCAGTATACAATATAACAAGAGAGAAACATCGTATTACTGAACATCAAAAAATGATATCAAATGTAGATTATAAAAGTATCACAATATTTCATATAAAGTCAATTATGATAAAAGCACAACTGTCCTAGTAAAATGGTTATGTAATATTCACATAGTTCTAGTCTGGACACAATTATTGATGCCTCTTAGTTCTAGTCTGGACACAATTATTGATGCCTCTTACTCCAATCTTATTGAGACAAAGTATAATTGTTGGTTCAGGTGCATTTATTTGTTATTTTGAAAAACACAAAGACATCCAGAGATAAGATAGCTCGGGAATTCTTGTTTATGTTTTTCACAACCATCTTAAAAAGACTCTGAGTTTTAAGTTTAAATGCATTCATTTTCAGTCTTTTAGCTGTCTCTCTGCAGTGGTTTAGGAATTCTTCTTGGCACATGTACACATTTATTGATGTTACTCATAACTGTCTCTCATGCAGTGCAGGATTAAGTGAAGTCTTGGTTCATGAGCACAGCTAGTATTAATCAGGAGTCCGGTGCAATCCTCTAGGAGTAGAAGATGTTGGTTCAATAGAAAAAACAATTCACACAACTGTGCCTTTGAGCCCTGCAGAATTTGGAGTTCTAAGTTCAGGAGCAGATTTTTTGCTGACCAGTGGTTTTTTGTAACTGAACTCATTATGATTATTATAGAGTTCTGGTACTGACCCTTTTTGTTTTCTGTACACAGTCTGATCTGCGGCACTACCCAGATGAAAATGTGGCACAGAATTGGTGGTGGGAGAATATGACTCATCTTCACTGTCACCCACAAATACCACTGGAATTTGCTGAAAAATTAATCAAATATATGTTAGATTAATTTTTATATTAATTTTTGTCGAGCCTGCGACTTTTGTTGCAGAAAGCTCGACATAGGGATAGCGATCCGGCGGCGGCGGCGTTAGCTAACTTCTTAAAAGCTTTATATTTTAGAAGATGGAAGACCTGGATGCTTCATACTTTGTATATGGATGCCTCATGTTACGAAGTTTCAGTCAGTCACATGTCCAATGTCCTTGACCTCATTTTCATGGTTCAGTGACTACTTGAAAAAAAAGTTCAGATTTTTTGTAATGTTAAATTCTCTCTTATTATAAGTAATAGGATAACTATATTTGGTATGTGCGTACCTTGCAAGGTCCTCATGCCCGTCAGACAGTTTTCACTTGACCTCGACCTCATTTCATGGATCAGTGAACAAGGTTAAGTTTTCGTGGTCAAGTCCATATCTCAGATACTATAAGCAATAGGTCTAGTATATTCGGTGTATGGAAGGACTGTGAGGTGTACATGTCCAACTGGCAGGTGTCATCTGACCTTGACCTCATTTTCATGGTTCAGTGGTTATAGTTAAGTTTTTGTGTTTTGGTCTGTTTTTCTTATACTGTATGCAATAGGTCTACTATATTTGGTGTATGGAATGATTGTAAGGTGTACATGTCTAGCTGGCAGGTGTCATCTGACCTTGACCTCATTTTCATGGTTCAGTGGTCAAAGTTAAGTTTTTGAGTTTTGGTCTTTTTTTCTAATACTGCATGCAATAGGTCAGCTATATTTGGTGTATGGAATGATTGTAAGGTGTACATGTCTAGCTGGCAGGTGTCATCTTACCTTGACCTCATTTTCATGGTTCAGTGGTCAAAGTTAAGTTTTTGAGTTTTGGTCTTTTTTTCTAATACTATATGCAATAGTTCAACTATATTTGGTGTATGGAAATATTTTATGATCTATATGTCAGTCACGCAGGTTTTATTTGACCTTGACCTCATTTTCAAGGTTCATTGCTCAGTGTTAAGTTTTTGTGTTTTCGTCTGTTTTTCTTAAACTATAAGCAATAGGTCAACTATATTTGTTGTATGGAAGAATTGTTAGCTGTACATGCCTGCCTAGCATGGTTCATCTGACCTTGACCTCATTTTCATGGTTCATTGGTCAATGTTTAGTTTACTTGGTTAATGTTAAGTTTATGTGACAGTTGTAATAAAGCTTTATATTTAGGACTATCAACATAATATCAATGATTAGTAAAGAAGGCGAGACATTTCAGCGTGTGCACTCTTGTTTATTGTGAATTCATGTATTTTCATGGGTACCAATTTTGTAGTATGAGGAAAAATAGAATTTTCATAGATATTTGACTTCAACTTCATTGTTTTGCATACAAGCCTATAGGCAATTTGTACTTCACGGAATATTTAAATTTAGGGTTTTCACGAAATCCATTAACATGGTATCCTACAAACTGTATTTATTATTTACACTGACTGACACTCCATTGTTTTGCTAAATGATTACAGGGTACATATTAAAATGATTTTACAATGTTTAGCATCACTTTAAAATTGTAAAAAGATAAATGTGGACAAATCTTTATAAGGTGACCTTTGAATTGAATTGGTGGTATAGATATAAAGAAAATTAACACTACCAAAAGCGCTAGACCAGGAGATTTCAGACACAAGAGATGAATTTGTTCCTAAAGTAATGCTTTCTGTTCTACTATCACTGCTGATCACAGGACTATTAGCCTCTATATCATAATTATCTGCACCTGGTAACACACACCTACCTACAGTTTCCATCAGATGAATCTGCACCTGGAGTATCTCCATCTATTCTACTATCACTGCTGATCACAGGATTAGTAATGTCTATATCACAATTATCTGCCCCTAATTAGACACATACCTACAGTTTCCATGCGATGAATCTGCACCTGGAGTATCTCCATCAGTTCTACTATCACTGCTGATTACAGGACTAGTAGCTTCTATATCACAGTTATATGCACCTGATTACACACACCTACCTTACAGTTTCAACTTTCTATGCGATGAATCTGCTCCTGGAGTATCTTCATCTGTTCTACTATCACTACTGATCACAGGACTAGTAGCTTCTATATCACAGTTATCTGCCCCTGATTACACACCTAGCTTACAGTTTCCATGAGATGAATCTACACCTGGAGACTGTATCTCCATCAGTTCTACTATCACTGCTGATCACGGGACTAGTAGCTTCTATATCACAGTTATCTGCCCCTGGTTACACACACCTACCTTACAGTTTCCATGCGATGAATCTGCACCTGGAATATCTCCATCAGTTCTTCTATCACTTCTAATCACAGGATTAGTAACCTCTATATCACAGTTATCTGCCCCTGGTTACACACACCTACCTTACAGTTTCCATGCGATGAATCTGCTCCTGGAATATCTCCATCAGTTCTTCTATCACTTCTAATCACAGGACTAGTAACCTCTATATCACAATTATCTGCCACTGAATACACACACCTACCTTACAGTTTCCATGCGATGAATCTGCACCTGGAGTATCTCCATCAGTTCTACTATCACTGCTGATTACAGGACTAGTAGCTTCTATATCACAGTTATCTGCCCCTGTTGGTTCTTCTCGTGGTTGTGACTGCATTTTCTTCCTCTCATCAATCAAAGGTGATGGTTGAGGTGACAGGGAACTTGGTTTAATCAGGTATCTTAAAATAAAAAATAACATAATGCTTTTACCTGCCATAAACAAAACCATAATTCATTCTTAAATGTCTACTGCTGTTTTATAAAATCAAAAAGATAGACAATCAAAAATTGCAGTTAGAACACGTTCAACTAAGTAGTTTCTATTGTGTAGATCCCATTATATACCAAATCAGAAATATGAAAGTTTGTTAGCTTTTAATTTTCTGTTACTGTAGTCTCTTTTAGTTTTCGCATTTGACTTTTAAGGTAATGTTGGACTGTGATGAAATTCAAAGTTTTCTACTACAGTGCTGAAATTCAAGACTGACTGTTTGTGATATATAATCTATTTCTAACCTAACTTATTCAAGACTGACTATTTGTGGTATGTAATCTTGTTCTAACTTAACTTATTCAAGACTGACTATTTGTGGTATGTAATATTCAGGACAGGCTGTTTATGGTATTTAATCTAGTTCTAACTTATTCAAGACTGACTATATGGGGTATGTAATCTATTTCTAACTTAACTTATTCGAGACCGACTATTTGTAGTATGTAATCTATTTCTAACTAAACTTGTTCAAGACTGACTGTTTGTGGTGTGTAATCTATTTCTAACTTATTCAAGACTGACTGTTTGTGGTATGTAATCCATTTCTAATTAAACTTATTCGAGACTGACTGTTTGTAGTATGTTATCTATTTCTAACTTATTCAAGTCACTTAAAGGTCCTATATTGACCATCTGAACTTGAACAGAGAAATAATCCTTAGAGGTGACCATCATAGGGCCTTGTACCAATAGTCTGGTCTCTTTTGGCTCAGTAGATTTCAGTTTATAGAAATGACAGTCTTTTTGGACATATTTCAAAGAAGGAACATCAAAGGATCTGATCACATAATAAACTTACATTATATCATCCTCCTTTAGACGAAGATCATAACTGGGGTTTATAATCACATATGATATTGTGTTTCTTTTGTCACTTGCTGCATCTGTAAAAAACATTTTGTATACATGAATAGTTTATTTGACAAATACTGACTTGATTCTGCTATTACACACTTTCAACACTAGTTGTTTCCCTTTGCCAATGGTGAACTGTTTTTAGACCGTATAAAATGGGTTACTTCCCACACGAAGAATGATAAAAATGAAATGCAATATAGGCTTGTTAACCAATTTTTAATGAAATTAGCTATTGATATCAAAATATTTTAGCTTAACAACCTAACGATTACACACATTACTCACAGATAATGCTTGCAATTTCCGCTAGCTCTTCATTGTCAATGAAAATTTATGTCCCTCCTAAGGGACACAACTTGTTCAATTGGATCTCTAGTAACATCGTTTAAATAACTTGAAGGAAATGTTCAACTCCCATAAACTACACTACTTCAAGATATGATTCCTGCTATTTGACTGCGAAATCAGTTAACTACTTACCATAATCATTTAGTGGTTGTTTAAGACTTTGCATTCTACATCGCACCATCTGACATATCTCGTGCCTCTCTGGGGTCATGTGACATCGGCTATCTTCCTCTTCACTGTCTAGTCCGATCAAACTTAGTGACACCTACAAGAAAATAAAATGTTAAATTGATTTCTACAAAATGAATCTTTTAAATGTAGCTAAATTGGCTTCTACAAAATGAATCTTTTAAACATAGCTAAATTGACTTCTATAAAATGAATCTTTTAAACGTAGCTAAATTGACTTCTACAAAATTTATCTTTTAAAAATTGTTGTTATCAAACTGTTAATGTTCCTTTATTTATCTTATTTTTTTCCTCAACAATCTTAATTAGCATCCATTGTTTTGAAAAGAAAAATATATAAGAAAATTTCATTAATTTTTCATCCAATTTACAATAAAGAAAAAAACAAAGCAGAAAACATGCTATTTCAAGCATTTTACAAATACTGTCTTCAAAAATTAAAAAAATTAAGAACTTTTCGAACATAATTAAGAAATATAACCACCAGTTATCCTTAAATGACTCTATACTTATATCATACTTTTTTAAAATTAAATCTACTTTAAATGTAAAACTCATGCAGTTGCTTTCATACATTTTTCCTGATATTATCATTTTTCCTGATATTATGCATGCAGTATATATTCTTCTCTATCCTAAACACAATGATGCATCTTCTATAACATGAATATCTATCTATATAACACACACACAACCAATACCACTGTCATGATATTTATTACACTGTATAAAATGTTTTTAATCATTGTAAGAATTCATTATGTTTCATTTTGAAAAAAAGGTTTTCTTGCAATTTCTTTTAAAATCAAATAAAAAAAATTTAACTTTATAAATTTCACAAAAATTTAGAAAAAGATTGGAGTGTTGATAAAAGTTTATCATGTATATTTATATGGGTCTTTAACACAAAGCAAATTCAAGAAAGCCAAACATATCAATCACACAGCAAATAGTAACAAATGACAGTTACAACTGATACTTGTTAAACAGCTGAGTTCTCACGATATCAAGCTTCTTTCATATTTATTTCATCATGGGTCATTGTCTCATTAGAGGAAAAAGGAATATGATGGTTGATATTTAAATGACAATTTACCTAACACACCAGTGCCATAATAAGGTGAGGTGAGGCAAAGAGGGCATACCCCCACTTTTGATACAAAAAAATAATAATTTGCCATTAATTATTCTAAAAACTATTTTTGTTATCCATTAAGGACAATTAAGCCCCCTTTTCTCAACCCTAGATATATTTGGAAATAACATAATCTCATAGGATTAATGAATTGAATCCTGTTCTTCATCTCAACAGCTATGTAAATTGATTACCAATAGTTTAATTAGATATGAACATTATTAAATATTCATAAAAGGACAGAAACAGAATTTAACATGTTTGTTAACTTTTTAACAAACCAAATTACTTTTATTATAGAAATTTTTTCTATAGCAAAAGCGTTTCTTGCATTGCAAATTTTATTTAACATCATTGGAAATTGAGAAACACCAAGAAAATGCCATTTTAAAATTATCTTATATATACACTGTTTATTCAGAATTCCAACTTTTTCAGACATACAAGGTTATTGAAAATTATCAACTTTGAGAAGTAATCCACAAAATTGCGCTTTAACTATTCTGAAGTGTAAGAGAGATAATAAAGCCGTGCTTATGTTACTTATTTGGCCAAAAACAAAAAGTATTAAATAAGGACACAGTGCTTGTATGAAGATTATGTTGATCATTCATATAAATAAAAGTGCTAGTTTTATAAATGAATGCACATATATATATATATTATGTATAGAGAAGCCAATCTGTGATAGGTAAAATGCACCTCAAGCTGTGAAAAATAAAGCAAAAGTAACAGACTGTGTCCAGTAATAGGCAGACATAAACAAAATTAGGCATATATATCATAAAAAATCAACATTGGTCCAACAGCTTTATATGTGTTCTAAATCTGCATTCAGTCTAATGGGTTATATAATGAATGGTTAAGGCTACTATATTTTACCATAGTAAGTTGTAAATGACATTTAGAAAAATAGAAAATAGCTTTCTATTGACATACATGTACCTCAATTATATTTACATGAATGCATGCTAAAAAGAATCTAATAATTCCACGTGAGCAAAAAAGTTTGTGAAAAAAAATGTCAATGAGACAACAGCAGTTAGAATTAAATAACAGAAGAGATTTTAGCAAAAAAATCAACCTCTTTATGGTTCTGAAGGCAGACTTTTAAGATAAAATGTAATAGCCCATATAACTAGTGAAAGATTAGAAGGTAAAGAGTAAAACCATGCTAAGCCTACTTCTGGTTGTGATTTCGATGGTTCTGGTCGTCTTCTTTTCTAAAGAAAATAGGCAATATTTCTTATAGTAATAAGCATTCTTACAAAACAGTTCTTTTAAAAAAAGAGATGATGAATACCTTAAAATACTAAAAAATGCAATTCTCAAAAGCAACCATTGGACCCAAGCAAACATTTTTTTATGTGTAAGCATTGGATAACTGGCATTGAATTATTAAGATGCTACAGTTTGGAAACTTTAGAATTCAGGAATGCTGCCATATTTGGCAACACATTTTTACAATCAAAACCATAAGTGTCAAATAGCCAGATTTCATCAAAAATGGAAACACTTTGACAAAGAAGTCTATCTGAAACATTTTTTATTCCTGTTATATTCTATCCAAACTCAACAAAGGGAGATTATCCTCCATATTTGATCATCATCTCTTCATGCTTACTCTTGTGTTATTTGCTGTGCATGTTCTGATTTAGTGTCGTGAATGGATGCCAGATATCCTTTCTTTTCTATTATATTGTGTTTTAGATGTTATCATGTTGTGAATTTTCTTCATGTAGCTATGGAAGAAACCACAATTACTACCCAATGTATACTCCAAACAAATACAGAGTACAGGTATTATATTTCCATTTTGTAACATTGTCTAGAGGAAATTTTCATTTTATTTAATCCCTCCTCTAGTTTGTGCTGAAATACATGAGGGCATGGATGGGGGTTTCTTTATTTCTGTATTCTTTAATTTTTTAGGCCATGTTTCTCTATTCTTTAAATTTTAACACCCCCATTATTCTCTATTCTTTATTTTTTAGCACCCCATTATTCTCTATTCTTTATATTTTTTGACCATTATTCTCTATTCTTTATTTTTTTGGTCCATTTTTCTCTATTCTTTATATTTTTCACCCATTATTCACTATTCTGTAAACCCCCATCAAGACCCTCATACATATCCATTTTGTTTCTGAACTTGACTTAAAAAACATTTCTAATTCTAAAATTTCCATAACTATATGAAAGATGTTGGAACCTAATAAATCATATTTATTCCTTTATGTGAATTATTATCATCTGTTCCTGGATAACTGCAATGAAGCACAACAAAATTCAGGCCTTTCATCTAGCCTTATATACTTAATACTTTAGTAAAGGGTGCTTTTAATATCATCTGTACTTGATGATAAATAATGAACAAATTAATGCCATAAAGTCTGGAAGAAATTATTTCTTGTGACAATCTACAAAGTATCTCATTGGAAAACTATTGTATAAAATCTAGTATACAAATGATAAATATGAGAAAAACAATACAACAAATGAAAAGATAGAAGTGATGATTTTAGGGCCTTGATATTTAAATATCCATGCAAGCTTTATAGGAAATAAGTTTACTTATGAAGCTGTAATTTCTTTCGCATTAGAAAATTCTAAAATTTCTTTTTTATTGGGGGACAGAAAGGGAGAATGCATTACAAAAGGTTGAAGATTTCCAAATATGCTATCTCATTTTTCTTAACCATGTTCTGTCCCTGCCCCTACTTTATTCCTTTCATCCCTTTCCATCCCCCTCTATGTGCCTTATACAATAGCAAAAAGAAAACTGGGTTTAAGCATTAAAATAATCAACTACAAAACATTTTTACTACTTACAACTGAGTTTCTAAATGCTAAGTTGAGTGCAGACTGATCTCGCCCTGCAAACGTTGAGCTCTATGTTGGATAAAAACAAAAATAAAAAAGCTGTCAGCATACAGTAAGGTTATAATGTCAGCAAACCAAATACAGGTATAATGCTACATGTGCATACATCTATACATGGGCTTTATATACATGATAAGCACCTTCTCATTATATGGCAGATAATATTGTCAATATAATTGATAGATACTGTAAATTCAGAAATTAATGCGTGAATTTATTATTGGGAACCACTGATTACTAGTAAAAATGAAAGATTTTAATTAATACGATTGCAATTTTATTTTTTAGAAAACCACTACTGAAATTATGAATGAGAGTTTTTATTATTTTGAAACCTGATATTGTCGCATTTTTTGCATTGATAAAAACATCGCAAGAATTTCTGAATTTACAGTATCTGAAAGTGATCATTTCAAGACTTTTTATATCAAGATATAAAAGTATAGTTGCATATCTCTTAACATCAAAATAGTTACAGTTATAAGCTTAACCTGCCGGTACCCAAAATGCACCTATTTTGACATTGTTTTCACCTACATTTATTCATATTCCAGACAAAAGTTTCCATTCTGTGTTTATTTTGTAGATGTATCATTATTTACTATATCGTTCCACCAAGTTAATTTGAATCCATACTGAATCAATAGAAAAATGGGTTTGAGCTGACCTCGAAACAATCCATGATTCAATTATGAGGAGTACCCAAATTGCATCCATGCTTAAATTCACATACATAAAAATCGAATAACTGATGTTTTGTTTCATTACTCAAACATTTGGAACAATTTGACGATAGTCCATGCTTACTATTCCTATTTTAAGAAATGGATGTCTGTGACATATTTTAAAAATTGCTCATTTTCAAAAGTTGACTTTTTGTGGACGTCACATAGCGACGTTTCTGTAGATTTTACTTTTTCACTGAATACTTCATCTGTTGATACATACTGTGACAGTTTTGTGTATATTTAGATATGTTGAAAGACGTGCAGAATGTCAGATAACAAAAATACAAATTGTTTAGTCTCTAAAAAAACTTGTAAGATTTCCGCTGCTATTTTTGCAAAATGGGTGCAATTTTGGTACTCGGTGCAAATTGGGTACTGTTACGCTAAGTATTATGAGTGTAATGAGTGTATTTAAGATAGAAAACCTAGACAAAATAAAGGAAATAAATATGAAAAATGCAATAAAAAACAAACAAAAAAAACCTTGTCACTCTTTCTGGTTTATATTCTTCAGCTATAATTCACTATTACATTGAATATACAGTACAATTTTTAAAAAGTTTTGAAAATAATAATTTAACACTAATATTCATATTTTTTTTTATCGAACATTATGAATCTAAGTTTTACAAATGACAAACTGTTCATAAAGTTATAAGAAAAAAAAAGATCTTTCATCTATATATATTAATTTTCATTGGTGAAAAAAATATTCTGTAATTTATTCAATATCTGTAAAATCATGTTAACTCAAGCAACAGTTTTCTAAATATCTAATAAAACGACTACTTGTGTAAGTTTATAGGTTCTGAATGAAAGTAACTATATAGGTTCTTAATGAAAGTAAGTATATAGGTTCTTAATGAAAGTAAGTATATAGGTTTTGAATGAAACTTATGAGTATGTTAACCATTCTACATTACAACTTGGTTCTAAATATAGGCAGGGTTCTTCTTTAAATAGACTTACAGGAGTTTTCTCCCCACTACTCTGTAACTGAGTTCTATATATAGCTATAGGTATTTCACAAGTTGTAGAGCAAAACTTTTGGTACAATCTTCCATATGTTCTAATCCATAAATCTTCCTTTTTTATCTTCATCTGAAAATAAACGTGCAAATAATTTACTGAATGAAAAGAAGTCTAGATATATTATTTTAAATGCATACTTTCACACCAGTATATGTTTTATTTATGTAAAACAGACCTGCCAACTTTTGAAAATCTCCATGGGGGATTTAGTGCGCGACCAAATTGTTAAGGGTTACAATTTTAGCTGAGTTTCTGTGTGCACTGTACTATGAAATGGCCTAAAAAAAATAAAGGATACAAAGAAAAGACCCTCCTTTTCCCCTTCCAAAGACCTCTTATCTTTGCACCATGACTCAAAAGACCTAAACCTAAATGTCCTAAAGTTAGAAGGATGAAGACAGATCTTGAGTTAGTCTATCAGTATTAATGAGAAAATGGATAAAATTTGAGTTATCTTTCTTTGTGTTCAGAGGTGCTCTTACAGGCGGAGGCTTATACACAGTAGAAGTGAATACAAAATGGCGTCGATTTTAAATCAGAACTGGACAGAAGCATGTCTGATTTCAAAAATTTTAATGGATTTCAAGATAAACGCTATTTTCTAATGAGTTCATTACAGTTTTTGTCTTTCAGTTAATTACGATTTTATCATGAAACTACGTTAAACGTTGCAAATTATGATCGTATGATAAATTGATTAAAATTGAAATGCTGACTGACCGATTCTGTTTACAAATTAACTTATTTTGAGGATTGTTATGACCCATCAGATAAGCAGATTATCTGTAACAACAACTTATGACACCTGTTGTGACCGTTGATTAGCTTGGGTTGTAAACTTGTCCTGAATATGTCGCCAGGTAAAATTATAGATTTATAGATATTGATCAGAAAAACTGGTAAGCAATAATTTTTTTCGGGTAAATTTTGTGAAAATTGGGATTGTGACTTGTTTTACGATCCCCATATCTGGATTCGGGTTGAGGCATGAAAATCAGGATGATACCGCCAAAATCCGGATAGTTGGCAGGTCTGGTAAAATCAACTCATTGAGATTTAAAAGGGGGAGGGATTGCTGGTCCGTGGACACAGTTATCGTCCTTTGGTTTTCGTTGTCTACGAATATAGTCCCTAGTGTGAACAGTGTATAACTTGCATTTTTTTTTTATACACTTTCCCAATTTATTTCTTGATATTTTATGCATGAAATATTAAGTAAGGGGATGAAATTACATGTTAAAAAATTTGGGTGCTGAATCTTTATGTTAAGTAGTGATTTGGTCCAGTTAAAAAAGGTCAAAAATTAGAATGTCGGAAGCTGTCAAACTGAATTTTAGCCCCCCTTAACACAGAATTGTCAATATTTTGAGTTAGAGCTGGTAGAAGTTTCTATAATTTTGATATTATTTATATCAATAGTAGTACACTACACTGTAAAAATCTTTTTGAGATAGAGCAGGTGCAATTTTTTTAATTTGAATGTATTGTCTAAAAGAAATGCACTACGAAATAACTGTGTTCTCGGGCCTAAGAGATGAATTCCGTAAATGTAGATTCTGTACTTTGGCAACTTTCCTGAATGGTTTTCTGGTTTCAATTTGTCAAACTCAATAAAAGTAAAGGATTTACATCTTTGTTTGACAGAAATTCTGTTAAAATGTCCCATTTTGGCATTATACGGCTAAAATAAGCATTTTAAGCAGTTTCCATTTTATGCCTAAGAGCCATGCTGACTTTCTATCTGACAGCTTTTTATGTTCCTGATATTTGTGTTTCTATGTTTAAATCAAATTTAATTAACCATTTGTGAACTCGGAATCTAGAGAAAAGTAGATTATCACAGAAAAAATGTGCAGAATATTTGTATTTATGGCCCTGGTTAAACGGCCTGTTTGATGTATGTGAAATGTGAAGAGCTTTGTACATAAAATCTGTAGTCCGTCACAAATATTTCACTAAATCTGTAAAAAAAACACTTTACAATGATCAGTTCACCCTATTCATTTCATATGCTACCATAATTTTCTTCTTTAGGATAGTAAGTGGTTCAAATATATGCCAAATGAGACTAAAACTACAAGCAAGTTTTCCATTGAAAAGTGAAAAACTGGTCATCAGACCATACTGTCTGCAAAAAAAAGTTGAATTCAAGAGTCCTTTTGCAATTAGACTTCTTGTATCATGACATCTTATCATAGAAATGAGCAAAAAGTAACAAATTTCACTTCCTTATAGCCTCTGTGTGCATTTTTATATGTAAATATGGGCTACGGCCTAAATCGACTCTAAATAATTCTCAGTCTTACATGGCCTAAGACCATTTTATACTCATGTGGTATGCTTTTTGTAACTTTTCTTTACATTTAAAGTACATTTAATATATATGGAAGAATAATGTATGGTTAAAAACCTTCAAAAACTTCAAATTGGTTGAAAAAAATGCATCTTTATGTAAGCCTTCCCTTAATTCGAAAATCTCTATTTTCAGGCACAGGCTCATATAAATTTGACTTTTGAATAACTGTAATAAATCTGATAAATCAAATGAGTGTTCCGTTGCTTTTAATTCTTATTATGTTAAATTCAAGAGTATTTAAAAAGCAAATTTTTGCAATATTTAAATTTTTTAGGCCAAAATCTTGACAGTTGAAAATATTTGATTTAAACATAAAAAAAATAAACATCCAAATTTCAATATTAAAATGGCCCGAGTTTCTATAATATATATCCTATGGCCATGAAACTTGGCCAACTATCTTAAAATTGCCTAAGCTTAGGTCATGCAAAGTTTTATTAAAATTGGTCAAGTCTTTCTATCCTATTAGGTCCAAGGACACAGTTATCGTCCTTTGGTTTTCGTTGTCTACGAATATAGTCCCTAGTGTGAACAGTGTATAACTTGCATTTTTTTTTGATACACTTTCCCAATTTATTTCTTGATATTTTATGCATGAAATATTAAGTAAGGGGATGAAATTACATGTTAAAAAATTTGGGTGCTGAATCTTTATGTTAAGTAGTGATTTGGTCCAGTTAAAAAAGGTCAAAAATTAGAATGTCGGAAGCTGTCAAACTGAATTTTAGCCCCCCTTAACACAGAATTGTCAATATTTTGAGTTAGAGCTGGTAGAAGTTTCTATAATTTTGATATTATTTATATCAATAGTAGTACACTACACTGTAAAAATCTTTTTGAGATAGAGCAGGTGCTATTTTTTTAATTTGAATATATTGTCTAAAAGAAATGCACTACGAAATAACTGTGTTCTCGGGCCTGCTGTCTCATGTTCATATATCCCACATTTCCTTTTATTCATATATGTATACAGAGAAAAATCAGTTTAAGTGTTATAAAAATTTTAATGATCTTGATCTTCAGCACTTTATTAAAATCCTGTTCTTCAGCACTTTTTTGAAATCTTGATCTTCAGCACTTTATTCAAATCTTGATCTTCAGAACTTTATTAAAATCCTGATCTTAGGCACTTTAATGAAATCTTGATCTTCAGCACTTTATAGCAATCTTGATCTTCAGCACTTTATTAAAATCCTGATCTTCAGCACGTTTTTGAAATCTTGATCTTCAGCACTTTATTAAAATCTTGATCTTAAGCACTTTATTGAAATTCTGATCTTCAGCCCTTCTTTAATTTATTAAAGTTAAACATAAACTGACTTTATGACAAGAGTACTTACAGAAGATAAATGTCCTGATCCTACAGCTTGATCTACCCCAAGTAACAATCTGGTGAAGGTTATCACGTACGGTTTAACAAAAGCCTTAAAAAAAATTAGTGTAATGTTAATAAATATGCACTTATTCTATCTTGTACTTATTGAACAGTTTGAAAACCAAACCAAAAACTAATTAAAATAACTTACAACTGAAAACACACATGTGTTAATCGATTATGATGATTGGTGTTTGCTTATATTCAGCAATATTTCATGCATGTTCAGGACATACATGAAATAGTTGCCACTGGACATTAAGCAAACACCAATCATCAAAATTGGTTAACACAGGTGTGTTTTCAGTTGTAAGTTATTTTAATTAGTTTTTGTAATTTTGTTGCAAGCAATTAGTTCCATGCTAATGTTATCTATTATTTAAAAAAAAAACATCATGTTTTGATAATTATATATAACTTGTATTTTTGTTGTGACATTTTCCAACTTTGTGCTGACATCATTAATTTTCATCAGTAATTTTCAATAAAAAAAAAATTGCTTTTCATGAATTGTGAGACCCACAGTAATAGTTATTTACAGATTTTTACAGATGTATGTAATTATACATAATTAATGTAACTTTTTTGTGTTTTATAGATGAACAAAATTAACCCGTTTACTATGCACACTTTTTGCTTTAGGTGTCTGCTCCTTTATATTTTAAGGTCATACAATAAGGTTGAATTAGAGCTTTATATATGGTACAGACAAACCTCTGTAGTCTCATACTTGCATTGAGTGGCTGAGGTCAAGGGTTTGATTCAAACCCGGGTCAAATCAAAAAACAACGAAATTATTATTTGCGGCTTTTCTGCAATTCAGACTAATGTGTCCTTGTAGGGTAACATGACATCCGGTGGATTGTTACTTTGTGATCAAGCACATTGACATGTTCAGGTCTTGATATGTATGTAATATTTGCCACTGGATATTAAACACTAATCCATCCAGCCAAACAGATATTGTTGAAGGCCGTATGGCTGCCTATAACTGCTTACATCCACTTCATTTGAACTTTGGTGGATAGTTGTCTCATTGGTAATCATACCACATCTCCTTATTTTTATAATGTTTATTTTTGAAGATCATATTTTGGTAGCATATCGATAGTAATAAACTGGTTAAAATTAAGCTCATTCCATACCTGATATAATATTGTATCTAACATACTGGCACTGAACACATTCCCTGCAGCAAATGGTATCCTGAACATATAGGACAGGTTTGATCCTCGGGATTTTTCTTTCTGTAAAGAAAAACAAATTTTACTATTATTACCTAGCTCACTATTAAAGAAGTTCATGTGTGTGAGGATCAAGTTAATACCAAATCACAGGTTGTGAAATATAGTGTTACATAGGTGTCAACTTCAGAAAAAAACTTTGAAGGGGGAAAACTCTCCTAACAAAAATGTTTTAGGGAAAGAATTACAGTATTATCATTTTCTGTGACATTTCATAAGCTACTTACTGTTGTAATTATGACATAAATGCAAGTAACATATTTTATTTTGACATTTAACATTTAGTTCAAGTTTTGGTTATAGTACACAACACCAGCTGATTTAATAGACTTTCAGACTGTTCAAAGTCATAGCATCCACATATTTGTTTTGTTTACAACATCTTAACGAGGAAATTGTATCACTGCCAAGTTAACTTCTTAATTCAGTTTGAGCCATTTCTGGTCCAAGACCTTGACCGTATGAAATTTAAAACTTTTGTCCATTCATTGAATATTATTTTCCTTTTTGTGTCCACTCTGGTCCTTATTCAGTTTGGCTCAATGAGAACTTATCGGCAGGTCTCTATCATGTGACATACTTACCTCCTGTTTGGCAAGAGTAAATGGGTATTGATGATCAGGTCTATATCACATGTTTGTCATGTGACATACTCACTTTTTCTAGTTTGGCAAGAGTAAATGAGTACTGATCATTAGGTCTGAACTGCATGAACCTCATATTTGAAGACTGTGACAGTTCTGTTATTATATTGGCACTTGGGAACAGTCTAAAATATAATGATGAATGTACATTAATGATTTCTATGACTTCATCGAACAAATATTGTGATAATCTATTATTAACTGAGGATTTATAATTAAACAGAGAAAAAAAAAGAAAGAAAAAGCGCGCTGAACTTTGCAGTTCATGATACATCTAAGTGTACTTTGGCCTATCACATCATCATAACATTTTCCAATTTGAACATAATAACAACACTGATTATAAAACAACATACCTATGGCTAGATTGTACAAATATGAATAAGAGGGATGCAGAGTAAACCTCAAATTATTTACCGACATAAGCTGTAAAGAATACCAAAAATATAAATCTAGAGTTCAACATACATTCTTCAAACATGTCACACTAAGAGCTCTAAAACCTTAAAGTTAATATAAGAAGATGTGGTAAGAGTGTCAATGAGACAACTCTCCATCCAAGTCACAATTTGTAAAAGTAAACCATTATAGGTCAAAGTACGGCCTTCAACACGAAGCCTTGGCTCACACCGAACATCAAGCTATAAAGGGCCCCAAAAATGAGTAGTGTAAAACCATTCAAACAGGAAAACCAATGATCTATATAAAAAACAAGAAAGGAGAAACACTTATGAATCACATCAACAAACGACAACCACTGAACATCAGGTTCCTGACTTAGGACAGGTGCAAACAAATGCAGCGGGGTTGAAACGTTAAAGTCAATATAAGACAAACTGTGCATGAACTAAAAAGAAACAAGCAAAGACCTGATATCAATATCAAGTTCGTAGTCAACAAAAAAAATCCAGTAACCGGAATATCATCTGAACAGCTACAGTAACAAGGATAACCAATCAAACAACATCTCCTCTTTTTAATATGTCCCTGACTTGAAAAGGTACATTCTACTAGTTCTTTGAGTGCTCCACCCTCCTTCTTGATAAGTAGAATAAACTGGAGGCTCTCAAGAGCCTGTGTCACTCACCTGTATTTACTGATGCTTTGGAAATCATGTAAAATAAGGTTAAAATCATAATTAATAGTATTAGATATTAGATATTATAATGATATCTAAGATAATAACAAATAAAATGCTCCGCAGGGTGCAGCTTGATACGACCGCAGAGGTCGAACCCTGAACAGTTGGGGCAAGTATGGACACAACATTCAAGCTTGATACAGCTCTGAATTTGGATTGTGATTAAATATTTGACACAGCATAGGTTTCTGACACAGAATGAATGTGGTCTAAGAACTTAAAAATTTTAAATTGGACATTCACCTATTATGGTCCAATATCCAAAATCTAAATACATGGTTAGATTCAGCATATCAAAGAACCCTAAAAATTCAATTTTTGTTAAAATCAAACTAAGTTTAATTTTGGACCCTTTGGACCTTAATGTAGACCAATTTGAAAACGGAACCAAAAATTAAGAATCTTAATACACGGTTAGATTCGGCATATCAAAGAACCCCAATAATTCAATTTTTGATGAAATCAAACAAAGTTAAATTTTGGACCGTTTGGACCTCAATGTGGACCAATTTAAAAACAGGGCCCAAAATCCAAAAACTTAATACACGGTTAGATTCAGCATATTAAAGAACCCCAAGAATTCAAGAATAAAACCCCATTGAAATTGATCAAGAAATAAGCAATTTATACGAAGTATCTTCTTTTGCACAATACTGTGCAATTGAATATTTCTTGCTATTGCGCAATACTGTACAATTGACAATTTCTTGCTATTGCGCAATATTGTGCTATTGCGCAATACTGTGCAATTGAAGATTTCTTGCTATTGCGCAATACTGTGAAATTGAAGATTTCTTGCTATTGTGCAATACTGTGCAATTGAAAATTTCTTGCTATTGCACAATACTTATTATATAATAATTTACACATCCTGTTTGGTGTGTATCTCCTACCATATCATTATTATTTGCTTTTAAATATAAATCAGAAATAACCAACTTAAAATGGAAAATTTTAAAAGAAAAAAAAAGGAAAAAAAGAAAAAAAAAGAAAAAAAAAAAATCCCCCCCCCTCCCCAAATTTTTTGAACCCCCTTATGATTCATCACCCCCAAACTCAATCCCAGCCTTCCCTTTGTGGTATGGTACCTTGCAGTACAATTTCAGAGAGATCCATACACTTGAACACAAGTTATTGTCTGGAAACTAGAAAAATGCTTATTTTTGGCCCCTTTTTAGCCCCCAATTCCTAAACGTTTCGGGCAATTACTCCCAAACTCAATTCCAGCTTTCCCTTTGTGATATGGAACCTTGTAGTACAATTTCAGAAATATCCAAACAGTTACACACAAGTTATTGTCATGAAACTAGAAAAATGCTTGTTTTTTGCCCCTTTTTTGGCCCCTAATTCCTAAAATTTTCAGACAATTACCCCCAAAATCAATTACAGCCTTCCCTTTGTGATATGGAACCTTGTGGTACAATGTCAGAGAGATCCATACACTTACACACAAGTTATTGTCTGGAAGTTACAAAAATGCTTATTTTTGGCCCCTTTTTGGCCCCTAATTCCTTAACTGTTGGTACCATAACCCCCAAAATCAATCCCAACCTTCCTTTCGTGGTATTGAACCTTATGGTAAAATTTCATGGAGATCCATTCACTTAAACTAAAGTTAGAGTGCGAAAACCAATGTGTCTTCGGACGACGACGACAACGACGACGACGACACCGCCAACGTCATACCAATATACGACCAAAAAATTTTTTATTTTTGCAGTCATATAAAAACTGCTAAATTTCTGTAAAATTACTAACTCAGGGGCAGCAACCCAACAACAGGCAGTCAGATTCGTCTGAAAATTTCAGGGCAGATAAATCTAAATCTGATGAACAATTTTGCCACCTGTCAGATTTGCTCTAAATGCTTTAGTTTCAGAGATATAAACCAAAAACTACATTTTACCCCTATGTTCTATTATTAACCAAGTCGGCCATGATGGTTAGAAGGTGGGGTTATCAGACAAATTTTTTAAACTAGATACCCTTATAATGATTATGGCCAAGTAGGGTTAAATTTGTCTCAGTAGTTTCAGAGAAGAAAATTTTTGTAAAAGATTACAAAAATTTACGAAAAATTGTTAAAAATAGACTATAAAGGGCAATAACTCCTAAAGGGATAGACTGACAATTTTGGTCATGATGACTTATTTGTAGATCTTACTTTGCTGAACATTATTGCTGTTTACAGTTTATCTCTATCTACAATAATATTCAAGATAATAACCAAAAACTGCAAAATTTCCTTAAAATTAACCAATTCAGGGGCAGCAACCCAACAACAGCTTGTCAGATTTGTCTGAAAATTTCAGAATAGATAGATCTTGACCTGATAATCAGTTTTACCCTGTGTCAGATTTACTCTAAATGCTTTGGTTTCAGAGATATAAACCAAAAACTGCATTTTACCCCTATGTTCTATTTTTAACCAAGTGGGCCATGATGGTTGGAAGGCGCAGTCATCGGACAAATTCTTTAAACTAGATACCCTAATAATGATTATGGCCAAGTATGGTTGTCAGATTTGTCTGAAAATTAAGGCCAGATAGATCTTGACCTGATAATCAGTTTTACCCTATGTCAGATTTACTCTAAATGCTTTGGTTTCGGAGATATAAGCCAAAATCTACAATTTACCCCTATGTTCTATTTTTAGCCATGGTGGCCATCTTGGTTGGTTGGCGGGGTCATCGGACACATTTTTTAAACTAGATACCCTAATGATGATTGTGGCCATGTTTTGTTAAATTTGGCCCAGTGGTTTCAGAGGTGAAGATTTTTGTAAAAAGCTAATGACGACGGACGACAACAACGACAACGACAGACAACGGACGCCAAGTGATGAGAAAAGCTCACTTGGCCCTTTGGGCCAGGTGAACTTAAAAGATATCAACTAACCTGAATATTGTCTGAACAGCTACAATAGTATTACAATCTGCTAAGAATTCATCCTCTTTTGAGTTAGATGTTTCCTTGTTGACAACTACCACATTATCAGCCAGATTAATACCAGCTTCAAGCAAATCTTCAAGGCTTAAAATAAATACATGTATCATAATAAACAAGCTGCTTGCAACCCTTATTTCATAGTATTAGCCTGATTAATACCTCCTTCCAGCAAATCTTCTAGGTTAAAATCAAATGCAAATATCAAAAATCTGCTTGCTATCCTCATAATACATTGAAGTACTTGGTTTTAGAGAAATATTTCTTTGTAAATATTTGTAAATATTTTCAGTATGTCCATGGACTGCTTTTGTATCAAAAATTACCTGTAGGGTAAGCTTAAATTATAGTTATTGTAATTTTGAAACCAACATGAAAAGAAGCCATATTTCAAAGTTTTTCTCTTCTTTCCTCTCCATGTTATCATTTATTTCAGGGGATTTCATTACTGTAAATTCAGAAATTATTGCAATGTTTTTAGTAATGCAAATAATGTTACTGGATGAGTATCGCAATGATTAGAACTCGCATTCTGATAATTGATACATACATGTCTATGCAGATTTTCCTGAAATAGCAATAATTAATCTCTCTTTTTTGTCCATTTGTCAAAAATCGCAATAATAAAATGCATGCAATAATTTCTGAACTTGCAGTCTACTATATTTTTTATTTTACTCTTAAATGAGTTGGGGTAACAGTGTAAAAGAATTTGATCATAGACAGAGTTAAATAAAGTGACACATTGTTGTCCCATTCCCAGGCATACCCTTTGTTAAAAATTGTTAAAATGTTTAAATTAATTGATAGTTCTTAAAACTAAATCTTCTGAACTGATTGTTTAATCATATTTTCTAGATAATAAAATAAAAACCTATGCCTACCATACTGTTTCAAGAGATTTTTATATTAGCTATATAATGCATTTTATTTGATGTCATTTTAAATGTAAACATTTGAACATGTTCTTAAATATTTTCAGGTATAAACGTCTTTCTCTTATTAAGGTATCTATTTTTTCAAAACCTTAAATCATATCCGAAAACAATGGAAATCGACATATTGGTAAGTTATTGACCTGCGTTATTTTACACCAAAAAATACATTAACAGAAAATTTTACTTACAAACATATTTTTACTCTGAAATTCTCCAATTCAAAACTGGTACAGTACACAAATTTGATTATCAATGTTAAAAAAGATGGCTCATACAGGTGTTGTTGTAAGATATAGTCACTCTCTCTCTCTCATTAGTATAAAACACAATGATTTATATTTACCATTCTATGGATCCCTTCATCCAGTAAACCATAGGAAAATGGCAGATTGTCTCTAGGAATGTGGAAGCAGGACTGAAAAAGATGAAATATTTGTATTATAACTAAGGGGAAAAAAAAACAATTTCTATAGAACATTACCCTCCTTGACTGTTTAAAAGTGCTTAACATATAATTTCAACACTTCCTATTTCAATATCTCTTCTTCTGAAGGGAATTCATTTATAAAAATTAAATTAGTACTGCGCAGGCACAGAGATTTTTGGAATAGCTGCATATAATTCCATCACATTTTGGCTTTTTTAATTTGTGAATTGATGAAAATCATATGTCGACCCTTAGATTTATGTAGTTGGTGTTGCTGTCTAATTGGTGTAAATCCCATATCTCCTTTTAATCATATGACAAAAACAAATAGTAACTGCTCATTTACCAAAATGACACAATAGAATTTTGATGAAACCCCAGACTTACATCTTACGGGTTGCTGTCTAATTGGTGTAAACCCCATATCTCCTTTTAATCATATGACAAAAACAAATAGTAACTGCTCATTTACCAAAATGACACAATAGAATTTTGATGAAACCCCAGACTTACATCTTACGGGTTGCTGTCTAATTGGTGTAAACCCCATATCACCTTTTAATCATATGACAAAAACAAATGGTAACTGCTCATTTACCAAAATGACACAATAGAATTTTGATGAATTCCCAGACTTACATCTTACTTAGTGTCTTACATTATTTCTACTTACTCTTTTTCTAGTAGAAGAACAATAGGATTAATTGCTGATTTTGGTCTAGCATGGGACCGTAGCGGTACTATAAAGTTGTAGATTCCATTACTAGCATTGTCAGCAGCCAGTATTATGGTTCTGTTGTGCCAGTTATATTCATTTGCATTACTATAGTTACAGTGTTCACAGGTCTACAATAGTAACCATGGTAATTAATTATAATTAATAATGACATATTAAAACAGCAATAAAAACTTTTTACATTAAGATAAGTTAAAACGAGATGTGTAGGAATGACAAAAATTGCCCCACTTGCAGAAAAATCGTGAAGCCATTTTTAAGAGTGGAAATTTGAGAAGGAAAGTCTGTATAACTGGTTTTTTTTCATGAAATTTTCAAAATCAAAAGCAAGTAGTTTCAGCACAAACAGGGATGCAGAACCAAACGTTAACTTCTTCTGTAACTCATCATAGTAGACTCACATACTAAAAATCAGCTCCATATGTGAAGACGTTTAAAAAAAAGTCTGTATAAACTGTTATTTTCCCAATTTGTCCAAAGCCCGTAGTTTCGGCAAAAAATCAGCGGATTGGAATCAAACGTAAATTCAATCTGTAACTCATCATAATCAACTCTCATACTAAAAATCAGCTCCATATGTGAAGACGTTTAAAAAAAAGTCTGTATAAACTGTTATTTTCCCAATTTGTCCAAAGCCCGTAGTTTCGGCAAAAAATCAGCGGATTGGAATCAAACGTAAATTCAATCTGTAACTCATCATAATCAACTCTCATACTAAAAATCAGCTGAATACGTGAAGGCGTTTAGCATGTTTAGAAAAACAGTCTGTATAACTGTTATTTTCAAAATCCAAAGCCCATAATTTCGGTAAAAATCAGCAGAGCGGAACCAAACGTAAACTCAATCTGTAACTCATCATAGTTGACTCACATACAAAAAATTAGCTCAATTTGTGAAGGCATTAAGAAAACAAGACTGTATAACTGTTATTTTCATAAACTTTTCAAAATCCAAAGCCCGTTATTTTGGCAAAAATCAGCAGAGCACAACCAAATGTGAACTTGATCTCTATCTCATCAAAATAGACTCACATACTAAAAATCAGCTCAATATGTGGTTGCGTTTAAAATATAAAATAAGTCTGTATAACTGTTCAAGCGGAATGACTGATAAGGGTAAAAACAGCAAAAAAGCCCATAAGAAAAAAATATCCACATCAATCATTGATTTAACTGTAGCAAATTTAGTTTCAAGATAGGTATTTCTGACTATGAAATTTTTAATAGACTAATGAATGATTCTATGACATTATATATTTGATTGACACAATTACAATGAAATTGATGACTAAGAATCCCCTTCTCCCCATTAGTTCTTAAAAAACGATTCTTCAATTACCATGGCATACATTTTCAGTCAAAAATTTAAAAATATTAGCTTTTGCCTCCCATTTCAAAACTTTAATCCAATAATGAAATGTATATTTCATAATGAACAATGCTACTTGTATAGCTCCTGTAATAAAACTGATAACCACAGATTTTTAATATGCTTCCATTATTTACAGACTTACTTTGTTTAATCGTAAACAACAAAATTCTCTCTTTTCTTCCATAAGATGACAAAGTGTTGGACTTGTACCAATGTAAGGTGTGACTGGTGGGAAACCTCGGATATAACTATAAAAAAATACAAATGTAAGTCAAAATGTAGGTCATGCACTATAAGGTGTAACTGATTTCAATTCCACATATGACTATAAAATATACAAACAGAAGTTAAACTTTAGGAATAGTTTTTGTTTTGAGACTGTATTGATAAACGGTATTGACAAAATAAATCCTTGGACATTAAATTTTTTATTAAAAGACAGTAAGTATTGAAGAAAACTCGGAACAAGTATTTACCATGAATGTTAGTGGAGCTGAGACACAAGTTTTACTTTTCTAGCATTATGATTGTTGTAACTAGATATATTTCATAATACTTTCAATTGAAACATAAATATTTGGTACAAGGGTCCGGAAACAGTCATATTTGCCAGTCATGACCTAAACTGAAAGCTATTTGTCCTAAACGGCAGATTGGGATTTAGGACACATTTTTTTTTGCAGAAATTATTTTGGTCATTTCATTGAGATTGGTTTCTTAATCGCCATTTTGCACTTGTTTTTGTTTTGTAATCTCTTTCCTGTAATAAAACTGCCACTCCAGTGTAGTCTGATAATCCTGAGGGCCCTCCTAATAACCATATCAATTCCTCCGGGAAATATTAGCTATTGATTGCTTATCACTTTTTACCTGTGTTCTGAATTCACACCTGATAGTGATCACAAGCTCAAAACTAATGTTATAAAGAAATTGAAATTCCAGGACAACTTTCTTCATTATTCAATTACTTTTCAGCAAAGACAATTATCAATTCTGATTTAATAAAATGCTCCACAGGGTGCAGCTTGATACGACCGCAGAGGTCGAACCCTGAACAGTTGGGGCAAGTATGGATACAACATTCAAGCTTGATACAGCTCTGAATTTAAATTGTGATTAAATATTTGACACAGCATAGGTTTCTGACACAGAATGAATGTGGTCTAAGAACTTAAAAATTTTAAATTGGACATTCACCTATTATGGTCCAATATCCAAAATCTAAATACATGGTTAGATTCAGCATATCAAAGAACCCCAAGAATTCAATTTTTGATGAAATCAAACAAAGTTTAATTTTGGACCCTTTTGACCTCAATGTGGACAAAGTTGATAACGGGGCCCAAAAATCAAAAATCTAAATACATGGTTAGATTCAGCATATCAAAGAACCCCATATATTCAATTTTTGTTTATATCAAACAAAGTTTAATTTTGGACCCCGATTTGGACCAACTTGAAAACTGGGCCCATAATCAAAAATCTAAATACATGTTTAGATTCAGCATATCAAAGAACCCTAAGGATTCAATTTTTGTTAAAATCAAACTTAGTTTAATTTTGGACCCTTTGGACCTTAATGTAGACCAATTTGAAAACGGAACCAAAAATTAAGAATCTAAATACATGGTTAGATTCGGCATATCAAAGAACCCCAATAATTCATTTTTTGATGAAATCAAACAAAGTTTAATTTTGGACCCTTTGGACCTCAATGTGGACCAATTTAAAAACGGGGCCCAAAATCCAAAAACTTAATACACGGTTAGATTCAGTATATTAAAGAACCCCAAGAATTCAAGAATAAAACCCCATTGAAATGGTCAAGAAATAAGCAATTTATACGAAGTATATTCTTTTGCACAATACTGTGCAATTGAATATTTCTTGCTATTGGATATTTCTTGCTATTGCGCAATACTGTGCAATTGAAGATTTCTTGCTTTTGCGCAATACTGTGCAATTGAAGATTTCTTGCTATTGTGCAATACTGTGCAATTGAAAATTTCTTGCTATTGCACAATACTTATTATATAATTAACATCCTGTTTGGTGTGTATCTCCTACCATATCATTATTATTTGCTTTGAAATATAAATCAGAAATAACCAACTTAAAATGGAAAATTTTAAAAGAAAAAAAAAGGAAAAAAAGAAAAAAAAAGAAAACCCCCCCCCCCCAATTTTTTGAACCCCCTTATGATTCATCACCCCCAAACTCAATCCCAGCCTTCCCTTTGTGGTATGGTACCTTGCAGTACAATTTCAGAGAGATCCATACACTTGAACACAAGTTATTGTCTGGAAACTAGAAAAATGCTTGTTTTTTGGCCCCTTTTTGGCCCCCAATTCCTAAACGTTTCAGGCAATTACCCCCAAACTCAATTCCAGCTTTCCCTTTGTGATATGGAACCTTGTAGTACAATTTCAGAAAGATCCATACACTTTCACACAAGTTATTGTCATGAAACTAGAAAAATGCTTGTTTTTTGCCCCTTTTTTGGCCCCTAATTCCGAATATTTTCAGGCAATTACCCCCAAAATCAATCCCAGCATTCCCTTTGTGATATGGAACCTTGTGGTACAATGTCAGAGAGATCCATACACTAACACACAAGTTATGTCTGGAAGTTACAAAAATGCTTATTTTTGGCCCCTTTTTGGCCCCTAATTCCTTAACTGTTGGTACCATAACCCCCAAAATCAATCCCAACCTTCCTTTTGTGGTATTGAACCTTATGGTAAAATTTCATAGAGATCCATTCGCTTAAACTAAAGTTAGAGTGCGAAAACCAATGTGTCTTCGGACGACGACAACAACGACCAAGACGCCAACGTCATACCAATATACGACCGCAAAAATTTTTGCGGTCGTATAAAAATTCAAACTTGATTGAATATACATAAATAAATGTGGATAGTGTCCACATGTGGACACAGATGATGTCCCCGCTTGCATATCATATAGTTATAAAGGGACATACCTGAAGAACGGTAAAAGTGACGCTACCCAAATTTGAATTTGATCTGAGTTTTGTGGTAATAAGCATTGTGTGTAAGTCTCATAACATTTGGTTGAGGCTAACTTAAATCGAGAACAGAAACTAAAAATTCAGCAATTTTTCTATTTGTTAACACGCATAACTCTAGAACGGTTGTGTATAAGTTTTATAACATTTGGTTGAGACAAACTAAAGTTAGAGAACGGAAACGAAAAATTCAGCAATTTTTATGTTTATAAAGGGACATAACTCTAGAACGGTTAAAGTGACGCCACCAAAATTCAAACTTGATCTGTGTTTTGTGGTAATAAGCATTGTGTATAAGTTTCATAACATTTGGTTGAGGCAAACTTAAGTTAGAGAACGGAAACTAAAAATTTTGCAATTTTTCCATTTATAAAGGGGCATAACTCTAGAACGGTTAAAGTGATGCCACCAAAATTCAAACTTGATCTGTGATTTGTGGTAATAAGCATTGTGTATAAGTTTCATAACATTTGGTTGAAGCAAATTTTAGTTAGAGTACGGAAACTAAAAAATTTGCAATTTTTCCATTTATAAAGGGGCATAACTCTAGAACAATTAAAGTGACACCACAAAAATTCAAACTTGATCTGTGTTTTGTGGTAATAAGCATTGTGTATAAGTTTCATAACATTTGGTTGCGACAAACTTAAGAAAGAGAACGGAAACTAAAAATTTTGCAATTTTTCCATTTATAAAGGGGCATAACTCTAGAACAGTTAAAGTGACGCCACCAAAATTCAAACTTGATCTGTGTTTTGTGGTAATAAGCATTGTGTATAAGTTTCATAATATTTGGTTGAGGCAAACTCAAGTTAGAGAACGGAAACCAATTTTGGGACGTACGGACGGACGTACAGACGGACAAGGGTAAAACTTAATGTCCCCACCGCTACGGAGGGGGCATAAAAGTAATTTTTCGTGAGTCAAACATGTGCTTTATTTACTATGTAATATGCATGCATGAAATTATCTTCGCTTGATTAGACACTTACTCGCAAAATGCAAAATGATTTCATGCTAAATTAAACGTGTTCAACTATTATCTGTTATATTCAAACACTTTCAAAGGTTAAAAAAATTAAAAATCTGGTGATTTCCTGTCAATTTGATAAACAGAACGAATCCCAGAAGTGTATCTGGAATTACTCGTACTTTAGTATTGTTGTGAAACTTCCAGTTTTAATTAAGTCTTCATAATCGAAAGAAACGTTAGTGATATCTGAGAAATTTACCATTTTGAGTCATTAAAATCATTTTAATTTTAAACTGTTGCATTCAATAACCTGTTCTCAAACTTTGTTAGAAAAACAGTAAGAAAATAAATAAAGTAAATGTGAAGCAACAGTCAATACAAGTTTGTTGATGCTTTGAATCTAGTGTGAATATTTCAACAGCTTGGAAAAAGGGCCCCAACTTTTAAGTCATTTCAAAATGACAGAAAAAATTTCTGGATCCTTGATTTGGTAAACATACTGAAAGATGTCAAATGCAAGTAATATATGAGCTTTTTATAATTTATGAAACATGCCAAATTGTTATATTTTTGCGAACCAAATGAAAGTTTTCCACAGAGTCGTCTGCTCTTGACCAGGGTATTTAAACTTTTGTCTATTCTCTTGTCCTATTAAATAAATACAATAGTTATTGTTCTCTGTGTAGTTTTTTCACTGGGACCTTTAAATTTCTTCTAGGAGAAATCTATCACTCATTGACTAATTTACCTGACCAAAAAATTATCTTCTTTTTAGGGGGAAATAGTTGTATAAACACGCATAAACTGCATGCAATATTGTATTTAATCAATATCAATAATATATTTTCAATCTGTTCAATATAAACACTGATTTAATTATAAAAAGTTTATTTCTGACAAAATTTTTAGTATTGTTCCAATGAATTTGCATGTTTTTGTTGTTGTTCAGTTATAGAATACATTTATCAAGACCTTAATTTAAACACAATAATTTTCAAGTTTTTATTTGTCAAACACACAAAAAAAAAAGCAAATTTTAATAGGGAAAATATAAAAAATTTGTTCAGAAATCAACTTTTAATTTTTGAATCAGTGTTTATATTGAAACTTTTAAAAATGAATTATTGATATTGAATAAATACAACACCACATGCAGTTTTTTGAGTCCTTATTTAATATTTGTACATGTATTTTCATTATTGACAGTTCAATTTTTTGTTCAGGTAAATTAATCAGTGAGTGATAGATTTCTCTTGGAAGAAATTTAAAGGTCCCATCAAATAAACTACACAGAGAACAATAGCTATTGTATTTATTAGAATGGACAAAAGAACTTACAAAAGTAAGTCGACAGGTAACTTGCAGGTGAATCTGTGGAAAAGTATCATTGGGTTCCCAATAAAATGGAGATAACACTAAACTTACTCTGGAAATCTATCAGTCTCTTTCTCTTCATCAGCAAACACAATATCATCTTCCTCGTCAGATTCTACGTCAGAACTACATAGTTGTAGTCGTATGTCATTGGCTTCTAACATGGCAGGTACAGGGGCTATACTTGGTCGTTTCTGTAAGTTACGACTAGTCAAACCTTTAGGAAGGTCAAGGTGAAGTCTTCTACTGGGTACTCGAGCAAGGTCTGCAGGAGATGATTGTGATGTGCTTTGGTTTTTCTTCATATCCATGGATGGTCCTATTTTGATAAAGTATCTGATTTACTTATAAATTAATTCCTTCAACAATAATGTTAGTATTCAAAATACAATACAAGTCTGATTTAAAAAAAAAAACTAGTCTTTATCACTAATCAATGCTTAAGAAATACAACAATCATGCTATTTTTTTACTGTTTGAAAAACTTGTTATGACTTCATTTCACTTATATAATCATTGATAATGTACAGATTTTCTTCTACACTTCACTACTATAAACAAGACAATTCCATGTAAGACATAACAATTCCATGTAAGACAAGACAATTCCATGTAAGACAAGACAACTCCATGTAAGACATGACAATTCCATGTAAGACAAGACAATTCCATGTAAGACATGACAATTCCATGCAAGAAAAGACAACTCCATGTAAGACAGGACAATTCCATGTAAGACAAGACAATTCCATGTAAGACATGACAATTCCATGCAAGAAAAGACAATTCCATGTAAGACATGACAATTCCATGCAAGAAAAGACAACTCCATGTAAGACATGACAATTCCATGTAAGACAAGACAATTCCATGTGAGACAAGACAACTCCATGTAAGACATGACAATTCCATGTAAGACATGACAATTCCATGCAAGACAAGACAACTCCATGTAAGACGTGACAATTCCATGTAAGACAAGAAAATTCCATGTAAGACAAGACAATTCCATGTAAGAATAAGTCAGAACCACTTATTGTTTTGATACCATTTTGTACATTATTGAGTATAAGTTAATCCCCTCATTAATCAGTTGAGATTTTCATGTTAGAAATAAGAGAATTTTAATACACCTGACACTCGTATAAGTCTGATTGCCTTTTGCCATTTCTAAAGGTGCCATTAATGAAGGTATTAAAATTTAATTGTCTATTGGGTTAATGTTAAGGATATTTTATATTCTTCTTGAGATTAAAAAGAAATCCATTTTCTGTGTATATTCTCTGACAATATATTTGCTGAACTCTTGGTGAAGAAGCAGCAAATATCATATGTAAAGCCATTGGGTTTGACTTGAATGTACATCAAACCTACGACCTTCTTCATTCAATAAGATCATAAGACCAACTGGTTAATTCTTTCTTTCAGAGAACATTAGTAACACACTAACCAACATTAGCCACAACTGATGCCACTTTGGACACCTGTTTGGTGGCATCTGGTAGACTAACTGTATCTCCTTTGGCTGTAATATCCTCCACTGAATGTGTCACATGGAATGTCTGTGTATTTTCTTCTTTGGTTATATTCATATAAAAACAAATATCTGATTTTTTCATGATATGCCGAGGACCAGGATTGAGCTGAATAGTGGCATCTGGGAGATCTTGCTGTACTCCTACAAGGCTAACACCAAACCTGAAAATAAACTGTTTCAATTACTGTGAATTCATTATTATTCGTGGGATACCAATTTTTGTGGATTTCGTGGGTATAAGTAAACAACAAATTTTAATGTTCAACCAAGAACAAATTTTCCATATACTTGTACGCAGATTTTGGTAAGACCATGATATCAAATATCCACAAAAATACTATTTTGCTTCAATCCATCAAAATTGATACCCATGAAAATAAATAAATTCACATTATATTTTGCAAGTGGGATCACTGCTCTAGTTATCATCATTTAGACATAGAAATTAAAAGGTGTGGTCACTGATAAATCTATAAGATAAGTAGGGTAAAAATGTGCATTTCAATTACCAGGATTTTTTTCATTTAATAGTTGTTATCCTTTTTTTTAGATATGGGACAATAACCCTCTCCCCTCACAAAAACAAAATCAAGGAAAGAAAAATTCCATTTACATGTATCGTGCTTTCATCTGTTCTCTATAGTTATCAGTTCTCGATAACTATGTGCGTGTTTAAATTTGACATACTTCGTGAGATCGCACGTGTCTTCTGTTCGCCAGGATTCACAACAGAACAACACCTCGCTTCATGCAATCAACCATTTCATCATGTTACATGTACTTATAAAGGTATGAATGAAAATAAAAAATATAGTTTCCTATAATAACCTACTTTTTCTTATTCCCAAAACTACCCTAACTTCAGCCTCTTGGTTCATAAAATATACGTTTTCAAATGTAAACAAAACATAGCTTCAAAAGAAGGTCAAGTACACAAATATCATACGCAACCGGAAATAAAGATGTGACGTCGCTCAAAAAAAACAACTATGGAATGCAGTTTGGGCCATATCTTATGATTTAAAAAATTGATTTTATCCAATAATGGGCAATGGTAGAGCAAGAAAATAATTAATAGGTTTTATTCCAATAAAAATATGTTTTTAGAGTATATTAATGATTTTACTTTTACATCCGAGTAGAAACAACAAAAAATTAAAAATTATTAGCAAAATTTTATGAAAAAAATTCCTAAATTTCTCAATTAATTTACATATATCAAATTATATATGACTTAAATTAATTTTTGTTTCTATTGTTTATTTTCAGAATAGATCAACACTTAGACAGTATTCACCAACAAAGCTTCAGAATGCTTACCAGGCCATTAAAGACAGGGGCATGGCAGTTCACAGGGCTTCCTTTGTGTATAGTCCCTATAGTGTCCCACTTAGAACACTCAGAGATCGAGTTGATGGAAGAACCCACAATGACACTGTGAAGTCTAATCCAGCTCCACTTTTCAGCCAAGAGGAAGAAGCCAAACTGGTAAACCATGTTAAGATGATGGCAGCTTATGATTATGGTTACTCCAGGTCAGAAATTATTATGATGGCCTTGGATTTTGCCGTCTACCTCCAGAAACGACCAAAAGAGAAACCACTTACCAAGCAATGGTACTACAACTTTATGAGTAGATGGTCGGAAGAAATAAAATTAGTTAAACCAAGGGCATTGGAGGCATCTCGTGCAAGTCTGCCACAAAAGAAAAGGTTGAGAGTTACATTGAAGAGTTGAAGAATGTACTTGATAAATATGATTTAAGTAGGAAACCACACTGCATTTTCAATGATGAAAAAGGTTTCTACACAGAGCACAAACCAAGTGATGTAGTAGGAGATAAAAAGTCAACTATACAATCAGTAACATCAGGGAGATCGCAAACAGTGGGCCCGAGAACACAGTTATTTCGTAGTGCATTTCTTTTAGACAATAAATTCAAATTAAAAAAATCGCACCTGCTCTATCTCAAAAAGATTTTACAGTGTAGTGTACTACTATTGATACAAATAATATCAAAATTATAGAAACTTCTACCAGCTCTAACTCAAAATATTGACAATTCTGTGTTCAGGGGGGCTAAAATTCAGTTTGACAGCTTCAGACATTCTAATTTTTGACCTTTTTTAACTGGACCAAATCACTACTTAACATAAAGATTCAGCACCCAAATTTTTTTAACATGTAATTTCATCCCCTTACTTAATATTTCATGCATAAAATATCAAGAAATAAATTGGGAAAGTGTATCAAAAAAAAATGCAAGTTATACACTGTTCACACTAGGGACTATATTCGTAGACAACGAAAACCAAAGGACGATAACTGTGTCCTTGGACCTAATAGGATAGAAAGACTTGACCAATTTTAATAAAACTTTGCATGACCTAAGCTTAGGAAATTATAAGATAGTTGGCCAAGTTTCATGGCCATAAGATATATATTATAGAAACTAGGGCCATTTTAATATTGAAATTTGGATGTTTATTTTTGACGTTTAAATCAAATATTTTCAACTGTCAAGATTTTGGCCTAAAAAATTTAAATATTGCAAAAATGTGCTTTTTAAATACTCTTGAATATAATATAATAAGTATTAAAAGCAACGGAACACTCATTTGATTTATCAGATTTATTACAGCTATTCAAAAGTCAAATTTATATGAGCCTGTGCCTGAAAATAGAGATTTTCGAATTAAGGGAAGCCTTACATAAACATGCATTTTTTTCAACCAATTTGAAGTTTTTGAAGTTTTTTAACCATACATTATTCTTTCATATATATTAAATGTACTTTAAATGTAAAGAAAAGTTACAAAAAGCATACCACATGAGAATAAAATGGTCTTAGGCCAAGTAAGACTGAGAATTATTTAGAGTCGATTTAGGCCGTAGCCAATATTTACATATAAAAATGCACACAGAGGCTATAAGAAATGGAAATTTGTTACTTTTTGCTCATTTCTATGCTAAGATGTCATGATACAAGAAGATTAATTGCAAAAGGACTCTTGAATTCAACTTTTTTTGCAGACAGTATGGTCTGATGACCAGTTTTTCACTTTTCAATGGAAAACTTGCATGTAGTTTTAGTCTCAATTGGCATATATTTGAACCACTTTACTATCCTAAAGAAGAAAATTATGGTAGCATATGAAATGAATAGGGTGTACTGATCATTGTAGAGTTTTTTTTTTACAGACTTAGTGAAATATTTGTGATGGACTACAGATTTTATGTACAAAGCTCTTCACATTTCACATACATCAAACAGGCCGTTTTACCAGGGCCATAAATACAAATATTCTGCACATTTTTTCTGTGATAATCTACTTTTCTCTAGATTCAGAGTTCACAAATGGTTAATTAAATTTGATTTAAACATAGAAACACAAATATCAGGAACATAAAAAGCTGTCAGATAGAAAGTCAGCATGGCTCTTAGGCATAAAATGGAAACTGCTTTAAAATGCTTATTTTAGCCGTATAATGCCAAAATGGGACATTTTAACAGAACTTCTGTCAAACAAAGATGTAAATCCTTTACTTTTAATGAGTTTGACAAAATGAAACCAGCAAACCATTCAGGAAAGTAGCCAAAGTACAAAATCTACATTTACGGAATTCATCTCTTAGGCCCGAGAACACAGTTATTTCGTAGTGCATTTCTTTTAGACAATAAATTCAAATTAAAAAAATCGCACCTGCTCTATCTCAAAAAGATTTTTACAGTGTAGTGTACTACTATTGATACAAATAATATCAAAATTATAGAAACTTCTACCAGCTCTAACTCAAAATATTGACAATTCTGTGTTAAGGGGGGCTAAAATTCAGTTTGACAGCTTCAGACATTCTAATTTTTGACCTTTTTTAACTGGACCAAATCACTACTTAACATAAAGATTCAGCACCCAAATTTTTTTAACATGAAATTTCATCCCCTTACTTAATATTTCATGCATAAAATATCATGAAATAAATTGGGAAAGTGTATAAAAAAAAAATGCAAGTTATACACTGTTCACACTAGGGACTATATTCGTAGACAACGAAAACCAAAGGACGATAACTGTGTCCTTGGACCAGTGACAGTAATTGCTGGTGGAAATGCTATAGGTACACATATACCTCCCTTCTTTGTGTTCCCAGGTAAAAGGATGTTAAGTGAGTTACTAAATGGTGGAAAGCCTGGAACAGATGGTGGAGTCTCAGATTCAGGTTGGTCCAACACAGAACTGTTTCTAAGATATATGCAGGAACACTTCATTAAATATGTTCCATCTTGCGATGCAGACAATCCTATTTTGGTGATATATGATGGCCATGCATTTCATGTTTCTATTGAACTATTAGAATGGGCCCGTTGTAACCACATAATCATACAACTTTTACCTGCACACTGTAGTCATTTTCTTCAGCCTTTAGATGTTGCCTGTTTTGGACACCTAGTAACCTCCTTTCTTCCTTCAAGCGTACTGGTATTCATCCGTTTAATACACAAGCTTTTGATAAATCAGTACTGAGACCTTCTGAAGTTTACAACAACTGACTACAGAACCTGAGCCTATAATTTTGACATTAAATAATTCTGTACCTAGCATTTCTGATGATAATCCAGAAAATACAGTTGTTAACACATTGGCTGAAGCGGACCAGGTTGAAATTGGACATGCTAACTAGGAAGATGAAAATGACAACCCCTTACAAAACTTAAACACATTCTTCACAAAACGTGTGTCAAAAGTGCCATTAAAAAAACATCAAAACCTAGGAAAACATTATCCAAAATTACAAGTGGGAAAGCAGTAACTGAAGATGAAACTTTCAATAAACCAGAGACCTTCAACATCAGGAATTATTTCAGGCGTTCATGGGCCACTTATAGTTGAGGATATCTGTGAACTAACTGATTCGGATGATGGGGGGATAACATTCTATGTTGCGTCTTCTGCAATCAAAGATACCCACCCTCTTTAAGACATTGCATTTCACTTACTATTGTTAACTGGGCTCAGTGTGATAAGTGTGATCACTGGACACATCTACGCTACTGTTCACCTGTGACTGTTGTTAGAACTAAATCAAAATTTGTATGCCCTCATTGTGATTGTGACAACTAACTATCTTACATAACTTCTTGTGACACAAACAGCTGAATTCCATTATGGACATTTTAATAAATCAAAACTCCACTTTGCATAATTATTTCAAAGTGGTAATTGCTAATTTTTAACTTTAAAAATTAACAAGCATTCATTCTGTGAGTATTGCATGGCAATACATAGTCCACTACCGGTTACAAATTCATTGTAATGGAACGAAATTCTAACTTGATCTATAACTTGTCATGATGTAAACTACATAAAAATATCAAGTCAAAATCTTCAAGCATGAGGAAAAAAATTGTTGAAAACTGATTTTTTAAGTGAATTTTCTATGTCCAAAGACCATAACTCTGCACAAAATTATCAGACTGGAACAAAATTCCAACTTGATCTGTCACTTGTCATGATAAAACTATATACATGTGTACTAATTATCAAATCAATATCTTCAAGAATGACAAACAAACCTACCACTTAATTCTTCAAACAATTTACCAAAGAAAAGGAAAATCCAAAATGTCATTTTGTCTTTTAAATCTTTTAAAAAATGAGTAATTTCCCTTTGAACAGAAATCTACTAATTAATAAGTATTTCATAAAAAAAAAATTTCTAGGGAAAGGGCTTTAACTGAACAAAGAGAAAAGCTAAAATCGTGAAAATTGAACTTGACCTGTAACTTGTCATGATAAATTAATAAACCAAATATCAAATCAATATCTTCAAGCATGAAGAAAAAAAGTCTGGAAAACTGATTTGCAGGACTGACAGACAGACAGACAGACAGACGGAGTGCAAACCTAAAGTCCCCTTCGACTTCATCGGTAGGGGACTAAAAATATGTCATTACCAGTGATAAAACATGTGAAAATTAATGTTTCTTCTTTTTTCATCCACTAATAATGTGATACATGCCCACCATACCATACTTTTGAAAACTATCGAGAACTGATGACGTAGTGCTCAACATGTCATAAACGTGTTAAAATACAAATGTTTTGTTTTTGTTCTGTGTTTCACAGGGAAAGCTTCAGGGTTTTGGGAAAATAAAGGCAAGTGTTTAATAAAATAACACAAACAAACTTGGGTATATTTATTAGCTGTACTTCCGATACGATCAACTTGTTTGTTATGTTATCGAGAACCGATGACACCAGGATACTTTTAGAAAAAATAAGAAATCTTCTATAAACTTGTAACATACCTTCTATGAGCATGGAATGAAGCATATGTAAAGCTTTTTCCTTCATATTCTCTGAAGAATTTCGTACTGTCCTCTAATTTAATGCTGTATATTTCATTTCCTGAGCGTTCTCCATATAACTGCTGCCATTCTTCTGACGATGTCTGACCTTCTCTGAAATTATAATTTAAGTAAAAAATTCATGGATAAAAGTTTGTTATTTCACATCTATTCACTAAAGTGGAATATATGACCCTCCTTTTCATAATCATAGAGAGGACCTCTAATTATCTTCCTCTATTTCACAACCCTATATTTCAAACTACAGGTATTCAATTTGTTAACAGTGGATATCTTCTTTAATTTAAAGTGAAAAGGTTCTATATTGTTTGTTTTTCTTGTACTAAAGAAGTGAAAAATTAAAAAAAACAAAACAAAAAGGAGATAACTTACTGTCCTCTGGATGTATGTATCAATAATGTTACTAAAGTTGATGTTGCTGCACACAAACAATTATTGGCAAGTAAAGCATATTTAAATTCATCTTCGCACACAACATGTTCTGAAAAATAAGCATGTTTCTTTATTAATAAACAAAACCTTCAACATTCTTTGGTATTAACAGATAAAAAAAAGAAGAAAAGCATTGTTTCCTTGATATGTTGTAGGAATGTCAATAAAAATTTCAATGTATGCAATATGCCTTATCTAAATTCCAGGACTGTAAATTTGAGAAATTAGAGAAATTTATGATAATTTTCTTTTTTCTATATTTCATCTTGAGTAAAATTTCAGATGAAACATGTTTATGTTTTAATTTATTTAATTCCTTTTTTTCCAGCTCTGATATATAATTGAGATTCTATCTTTGATGCTTTTTCATACAAACCTGCAAATTTAACATGGAATTTATTTTCTGGTCTGAAGATCTGAACATATTGTGGACAGTCTGGAGCAAAATCTTTGATAGCCCATGACCTGAGGATTGTATGCTGATCCTGAAATAAAACCATTATAGCATTAAATCTTCCGGTAAAAGTATTAGAAATATTCTGTTACTCTTGCATATATCCTGACTCTACACTAAAAATGATCACTCTGGAAGAATTCTGCCATTGATTTAGTTGGTTTTTGTATCTTTTTATATCATTGTTATTGTTCAGATCTAAATGATAACAAGAACACACACATATAGCCAAACTGATGAATAACATAAAGTAACTCTTTTCAGCAGTGCTAGAGAAAAGTGTGACGAAAAATTTTAAGTTCATTCAACATATAAAAAAATTGAAAGTATTGACAAACAGGATGTAGGATCCTGCTCCGCATGTGGCACCTGTTGTGTTGCTCACACACTCTTAGTGAGTGTATAATAACAATTGACAGCTGTGTTGTGAGCCCATACCGGGTAATATTGATTTCCTTGCAGGTTGTAAAACTTTTTTTTTAAAGTAACTCTTTAAATAAATTCTTAACTCATGCAATTATTTTACATGGACAGGTGAATAGAACCAATTTAAAATCTGAAAAAGTGCTCCTTTTTTTTATAAAATTCTACAACACTATAATGACAATGATATAACTTACTGCAGCTCCTTTATCTACATAATTCCTGGCTGCCAGAATAAAACAGGCTAAGGCATCCTGGACCCTAGAAAACAAAATCTTAAGTTACGTCAAAACAAAAGATGCTTAGACATAATTTAACCAGACAAAGTAAGAATTTTTACTGCATATTTTATTATACTATCTCCCATCTTCAACTGTCAAGGTCATTCACAGGTTTTTATTGCAGACAGACGCATTTTTGCTTATGCCTTATTCACCAACCTTCAAATGGCAAGATCAGTATTTTATTACTGCAGACCAGTGTATGTATATGACCATATCATCCACCTTCAACTGTCAAGGTCGTCCTGAACAGGCATGAAATATTTGCCACTGGATGTTAATTCATAAGTAGCCATCAATCAATCAATCAACTGTCAAGGTCAGTGGCTTTTATTTCAGGCCTTAGTAAGTTTAGGACCCTATCACCAACCTTCAACTGTCAAGGTCAGTCACAGTCTTTTATTACAGACCCTAGCAGGTTTGTTTATGACTCTATCACTTACTAGCTGTGGAACTGTAGCTGTTAGGTCCTTATGGTTTATGGTCCGCAAATTGTCAAATAAACTGTTTCGCTAAGCGCAGCTGGATACGACTGCAGAGGTCCAACCCTGAACAGTTGGGGCAAAAATGGACACAATATTCAAGCTTGATACAGGTCTGAATTTGGATACATTATAGGTTTCTGACACAGAATAAATGTAGTCAAAGAACTTGAAATTGGTTATATGATTTGAATTTATATTCAATTGAAGATTTCTTGCTGTTGTGCAATACACTGTGCTGTTGTGCAATACTTACTAAATCTGTTTTCAGACTATATACAAAGAATTAGCAAAATAAATTGTGACCCCAATTTTTCTTCTCCAAAAAAATTAATATTTGAAGAAATTTTCTTTTTAATTTCTAAAATCTTGAGGAAAAAAAATTGCTTGTTTTGGGCCCCTTTTTGGCCCCTAATTCCTAAACGGTTGAGACCATCACCCCCAAAAACAATCTGAACCTTCCTTTTGTGGTTAATAATAATTGAACCTTTTGGTTAAATTTCATAGAGATCCATACGTTTAAACTAAAGTTATTGTCCGGAAACCAAATGTCTTCGGATGAAGACGACATTGATGATGACGACGTGATAGCAATATACGACCGCAAAATTTTTTTTGCAGTCGTATAAAAATATCATAAAGACCCAAGAGCTACAATTCCCCAGCTAATCACTTACCTGCACCTGATGAGGTCAGTGTCTTTCACTGCTGACCCTTGTATGTATATAACTCTTTGTGACCATATGGGTACTTGTAATAACATCTTCATTGTCGGATCTAATTCACAAGGTGATAATAACACAACAAAGTAGCTCTGCAAAAAAAAAAACAATTTGTAAAAGATATCACTTAATATATGTATGTATGTATGTATATCAAGATTTAAACAATATGTACAATTTTTTGTTAATCTATCATAGTAAATTTTAATAAAAAAATAATTTTTAAGTTTTTAAGTCTAAAACAGATTTTTTTTATCACAGAAGCCTATGTTATTGTTTAACAAAATTTTAAATATTTACAGGTTGTTTAATCTGTCATTCATAACCTGATGCAAAATTTCCCTGTAAGTGGTTATTTCAGCTTTCTGTTATGATGTTTCCAAAATGTGTTACATGTACCACAAAAGTTCACGTAGCTATTATTTTGCTGCTATATTCTTTATTTCATGCCTAGATACAATCATTGTTTTAAAAGAGTTAAATATTAATTCCTGCGTTTTCTTGTTCAGTCTCAGCATGACGCTCATTGCAAATGCAATTCATTTTTTTTAAGAATTCAATACTGTTGACAACATGCCAGTTAACGATGATTTATATATAACAACATTTGTATAAAAAAGCATTCTAATAAAATATATAATCTGCATCTGACATTGACCTGAGTTTACTCATTAGGTGTTTTTTCACTTCAAACTTAAATTTAATTTTTGAATTCAGTAAAGTGGTACATGTATAATTAATTTTCTAATTATCATTTTTAAAAGAATGACAAAAGTATTCTCATCTCAGTTTGTTTATTTTATTGTTAAAAATACTTTTTGGTAGTTTTATAGAATTTCATGTTAGTCAGTAGTAATCGTGAATGTTGTTTGTTGGTAGTTTTATAGAATTTCAAGTGAGTCAGTAGTAATCGTGAAGGTTGTGTGTTGGTAGTTTTATAGAATTTCAAGTGAGTCAGTAGTAATCGTGAAGGTTGTGTGTTGGTAGTTTTATAGAATTTCAAGTGAGTCAGTAGTAATCGTGAAGGTTGTGTGTTGGTAGTTTTATACAATTTCAAGTGAGTCAGTAGTAATCGTGAAGGTTGTGTGTTGGTAGTTTTATAGAATTTCATGTTAGTCAGTAGTAATGGTGAAGGTTGTGTGTTGGTAGTTTTATAGAATTTCAAGTGAGTCAGTAGTAATCGTGAAGGTTGTGTGTTGGTAGTTTTATAGAATTTCATGTTAGTCAGTAGTAATGGTGAAGGTTGTGTGTTGGTAGTTTTATAGAATTTCAAGTGAGTCAGTAGTAATCGTGAAGGTTGTGTGTTGGTAGTTTTATAGAATTTCATGTTAGTCAGTAGTAATCGTGAAGGTTGTGTGTTGGTAGTTTTATAGGATTTCAAGTGAGTCAGTAGTAATCGTGAAGGTTGTGTGTTGGTAGTTTTATAGAATTTCATGTTAGTCAGTAGTAATCGTGAAGGTTGTGTGTTGGTAGTTTTATAGAATTTCATGTTAGTCAGTAGTAATCCTGAAGGTTGTGTGTTGGTAGTTTTATAGAATTTCAAGTGAGTCAGTAGTAATCGTGAAGGTTGTGTGTTGGTAGTTTTATAGAATTTCATGTTAGTCAGTAGTAATCGTGAAGGTTGTGTGTTGGTAGTTTTATAGAATTTCATGTTAGTCAGTAGTAATCCTGAAGGTTGTGTGTTGGTAGTTTTATAGAATTTCAAGTGAGTCAGTAGTAATCAGGAAGGTTGTGTGTTGGTAGTTTTATAGAATTTCATGTTAGTCAGTAGTAATGGTGAAGGTTGTGTGTTGGTAGTTTTATAGAATTTCATGTTAGTCAGTAGTAATCGTGAAGGTTGTGTGTTGGTAGTTTTATAGAATTTCAAGTGAGTCAGTAGTAATCGTGAAGGTTGTGTATTGGTAGTTTTATACAATTCCAAGTGAGTCAGTAGTAATCATGAAGGTTGTGTGTTGGTAGTGTTATAGAATTTCAAGTGAGTCAGTAGTATTCATGAAGGTAGTGTGTTGGTAGTTTTATAGAATTTCATGTTAGTCAGTAGTAATCGTGAAGGTTGTGTGTTGGTAGTTTTATAGAATTTCAAGTGAGTCAGTAGTAATCGTGAAGGTTGTGTGTTGGTAGTTTTATAGAATTTCATGTTAGTCAGTAGTAATCGTGAAGGTTGTGTGTTGGTAGTTTTATAGGATTTCAAGTGAGTCAGTAGTAATCGTGAAGGTTGTGTGTTGGTAGTTTTATAGAATTTCATGTTAGTCAGTAGTAATCGTGAAGGTTGTGTGTTGGTAGTTTTATAGAATTTCATGTTAGTCAGTAGTAATCGTGAAGGTTGTGTGTTGGTAGTTTTATAGAATTTCAAGTGAGTCAGTAGTAATCGTGAAGGTTGTGTGTTGGTAGTTTTATAGAATTTCATGTTAGTCAGTAGTTATCGTGAAGGTTGTGTGTTGGTAGTTTTATAGAATTTCATGTTAGTCAGTAGTAATCGTGAAGGTTGTGTGTTGGTAGTTTTATACAATTTCAAGTGAGTCAGTAGTAATCGTGAAGGTTGTGTGTTGGTAGTTTTATACAATTTCAAGTGAGTCAGTAGTAATGGTGAAGGTTGTGTGTTGGTAGTTTTATAGAATTTCAAATGAGTCAGTAGTATTCGTGAAGGTTGTGTGTTGGAAGTTTTATAGAATTTCAAGTGAGTCAGTAGTAATCGTGAAGGTTGTGTGTTGGTAGTTTTATACAATTTCAAGTGAGTCAGTAGTAATCGTGAAGGTTGTGTGTTGGTAGTTTTATACAATTTCAAGTGAGTCAGTAGTAATCGTGAAGGTTGTGTGTTGGTAGTTTTATAGAATTTCAAGTGAGTCAGTAGTAATCGTGAAGGTTGTGTGTTGGTAGTTTTATACAATTTCAAGTGAGTCAGTAGTAATCATGAAGGTTGTGTGTTGGTAGTTTTATACAATTTCAAGTGAGTCAGTAGTAATCATGAAGGTTGTGTGTTGGTAGTTTTATAGAATTTCAAATGAGTCAGTAGTATTCGTGAAGGTTGTGTGTTGGAAGTTTTATAGAATTTCAAGTGAGTCAGTAGTAATCGTGAAGGTTGTGTGTTGGTAGTTTTATACAATTTCAAGTGAGTCAGTAGTAATCGTGAAGGTTGTGTGTTGGTAGTTTTATACAATTTCAAGTGAGTCAGTAGTAATCGTGAAGGTTGTGTGTTGGTAGTTTTATAGAATTTCAAGTGAGTCAGTAGTAATCCTGAAGGTTGTGTGTTGGTAGTTTTATACAATTTCAAGTGAGTCAGTAGTAATCGTGAAGGTTGTGTGTTGGTAGTTTTATACAATTTCAAGTGAGTCAGTAGTAATCGTGAAGGTTGTGTGTTGGTAGTTTTATAGAATTTCAAGTGAGTCAGTAGTAATCGTGAAGGTTGTGTGTTGGTAGTTTTATACAATTTCAAGTGAGTCAGTAGTAATCATGAAGGTTGTGTGTTGGTAGTTTTATACAATTTCAAGTGAGTCAGTAGTAATCGTGAAGGTTGTGTGTTGGTAGTTTTATAGAATTTCAAGTGAGTCAGTAGTAATCATGAAGGTTGTGTGTTGGTAGTTTTATAGAATTTCAAGTGAGTCAGTAGTATTCGTGAAGGTTGTGTGTTGGAAGTTTTATAGAATTTCAAGTGAGTCAGTAGTAATCGTGAAGGTTGTGCGTTGGAAGTTTTATAGAATTTCAAGTGAGTCAGTAGTAATCATGAAGGTTGTGTGGTCTGTTAACCTTAAACTATTGGACAATCATTTTCTACCATTATAGTGTGATGGTAATATTGGACTGCACATTTCATCAAATAAAAATCTTGCAAATATTCAAAATTATAAAATTTCAAGAGTTGATTTGAAATTTATACGGTGCTGAAATCTATTTTGCTCAGGTATAACAAGGCTGTGTAAGGTATCTTTACCTTAATTTACCACAGTATCACCTAAGCATTCAACCTAAGATGAAAATAATACCGGTAACTTGGTTTACAATACTTGAAAAACAACCGCTGTGAATATTTAATTCAAATGTACATTTGGTTTATAAATATGTAATTTCTCTAACAAAATAAGTACACAATGAAACTGGAGTAAAATACTGTCCTTTATGTTTACCTGAAGAGCAGGGTGAGCATAAAATTTCATGTAAAATATTGTCCATTATGTTTACCTGAAGAGCAGGGTGAGCAAAAAATTCATGTGAAATATTGTCCATTATGTTTACCCGAAAAGCAGGGTGAGCATAAAATTCATGTGAAATATTGTCCATTATGTTTACCTGAAGAGCAGGGTGAGCAAAAAATTCATGTGAAATATTGTCCATTATGTTTACCTGAAGAGCAGGGTGAGCATAAAATTCATGTGAAATATTGTCCATTATGTTTACCCGAAGAGCAGGGTGAGCATAAAATTCATGTAAAATATTGTCCATTATGTTTACTGGAAGAGCAGGGTGAGCAAAAAATTCATGTGAAATATTGTCCATTATGTTTACCCGAAGAGCAGGGTGAGCATAAAATTCATGTGAAATATTGTCCATTATGTTTACCTGAAAAGAAGGGTGAGCAAAAAATTCATGTGAAATATTGTCCATTATGTTTACCCGAAGAGCAGGGTGAGCATAAAATTCATGTAAAATATTGTCCATTATGTTTACCTGAAGAGCAGGGTGAGCATAAAAATCATGTAAAATATTGACCATTATGTTTACCTGAAGAGCAGGGTGAGCATAAAATTCATGTAAAAAGTCCATGATTGTGTCTGATTGTAATGTTGTGGCTACAACTACCACATGTTTTTCTGTCTGTGCACGATGGCTACTGTAAGCTCCACCTTGCTTCTGTCTTTCTAACCAAGTATATCCTAAATTTTCAATCTGAAAAGAAGAAATTTAAATTATGAAAAAAAAAAAGAGGAAGAATTTGCTGCTACTGAAGTGGGCGAGATAAAATAAAGATTATCAAGCAATCATTCCCAAAAGTTATATTTTTATAGGCAAATAAGATGTTAAACTTTTATGTTTTACTTTAAAATCCACAAAAAACAAAGATCATCACAATCGACACAGCCTGATCAAAAGTGAAGGCTTTACACCAATCAATTCTCAGCACCATCATTGATTACAAGATTCCTCATCAATGGAATAATAAAAATTATATAATTTAGCATCAGGTGATATTTTAAGAAGATATTAAACTTTGAATACTTTCAGATTGTGACACTGCGATGATTTTAATTTTATCAAGAATTCTGCATAAAAATTGCAGTTAAATCAATTTCTTCCTTCAACAAATGTAAATTTTGTTCTGTAGTGATCCCTGTAATATCTGTTTGGTAAATAACAGCAGATAACATGAGACAATTCTCTGGAGAATATCAAACCACTTCCTCACAGATTAATTAATGATTTTTGTTATGAACAAGTTAAACCAAATCTCAACAAATTCATCAGCTATAGCAATTTGTACAAAATCAGTAACGGCTTTATTCATTAATGGATTTGTCAAATAAATTATGTTCAACATCTTTCTTATCACAACTACAAAGCTGCACAGAAAGTTATCATTATTATCAGAGACAATCTTAAAATTGCTAGCTGCATGGAAGTTTGGAATGAATAAATCTCTCTCTTCCTATTACACACACATAAAACAGGATTTAATTTCTCTGACTAAAACAGGAACCAAGTCCTGTAAAATTATACACAAAGATGTGAGTTTCCAATTGCATAACGTCTGCTGAAGCTATAAATTTTATGGCAAGGATAACTGCTTAAAATGACTCCATGTTTTGCATAAGGACAGCCCTCAATTTGATTAGCTAAAAAATGAAATAAGAGTTGAAATACATTCCTTTCCTTGAAAAGAAAGTGGAAATACTATACCAGTATTTCTTTTTGAAGTGTCTCTCCGTCCACGATTATTTTTGATTCAATGGCTTATAAAACTTTGTGAATAGGAGTTTTAGATTCACTATGTGGTATCAGCATATAAACTTGATGTTTGCAATGTCTGTTAAATTATGTTTAAGTTTTATTGGTTTCTATTGATTTGTTCCTCTGGAGTTATAGATGAGAGGAAAAACAATTAAAATGTAAGTTTTGGATGGACGACATGATTTCCCTGCTGTCTCCAAAAACTATTAGCAGAAATGACAAAGTTGTATGTTAGTATGAGAAACCCCCAAAATCCACCAGATATAAAATCTAAATACCCCTTATTGCTATCTGGTGCATAATTTCATATCCTGTGTAAGTTCAGTTGAATTCTGGCAAGATGTTTTCTATGATTTGCTGATTAACAAAATGTAACAAGGACGAAGATGGCACAGATAACAACCCAATATTAAATATGTCATTCCCATCTGTCACAGCAGCTGGACCAAGAGATGGGACACAATTATCCCCCGACGAAGACTGCACACAGACACATAGAAACAATTTCATACCTGTGTAGGCAGAACTATAAGTGCAGCTCCTATCATAATGATCATATACATCTGACTGATCCATATATCTGGATAGATATCTCCATACCCTACAGTAGAAAATGTCACAACCACAAACCAAATGGAATCTACCAAATTAAACTGTTGATTTCCTCCCCTCTGAAGGTGCTGGATACCACAAACACTGAAAAAGTAATACCTTATAATTAATTATGCTAATTAAAATATCTCAATCAACTAAATACTCTTTTTCAAAAATAAATGCAGTGTAAGTAAATTTTCTAGAATCCAATTAGACCACTTGGCCTAAAAATTATCCCTTGAAAGTATACTTGTTTTTTTTAATTATTGAGTTTTGTGTTTACTTTTATGCAAATTTTGTGAAGTTTTTTATGAAATTTAAAATACAAATGTATAATGCATTTGTGTTTCATATATAAGTGCTTTTCAATCACAGCATTCATCCACAAAATTTTTTAACAAATTCTCAAGTCATTGGGTTGCTGTCTCATTGAAATCTACTCTGACATCTCCTTTCATTTATATGTAAATAAATAATACTGATTGAGTTTAAGTGTTTGGACCAGTAACTCCTAAAATGTAATTTATATTACTATACTGCTGTTTATATTTACTTAGTAAAAAAAGCAAGAATTGTAGCACATGATATCATTAACTGTTGTTTATACTTACCTAGTGAAAACAAGGCACAGAATTGTAGCACATAATATCATTAACTGTTGAGCAAGAGCTGAGTGTGCTTTCATCATCACTCTATGTAAATCATTCTGGAAAAAAAATGAATTTAATTTTTGTCAATTTTCAAATGAAAGGAATTCCTTTTCCCATCATGCAATAGCGTGTATACATAGTGATGAGTCCTTATGACCAGATATGCAGGCTGAGAATTTTCCTTAATGGGATGTTATGAAGTTTAAGGAAAAGACTTGAAAGATTCTTTCCTACAGGGAGCTAAAAAAGGGTTCTTTTATTTATCTAATGTCTATAAATGTATTACATTACCGTATCTTAAATCTGACATTAAATTCTGGTGATTAAGAAACACTTTTTTTAATCAAAACTAAACATTATAAATGGAAATGTTGACATCTGGGAATTCTCCAATACTAAACTATAGTCATTACATTATAGTGTTCTAATCTCCAACTTGACATAACAGATAAATACATACAAACATATTCTGTAAAGCTGATTTGGCAAGCCAACAGTTGAAAAACACTGGAATAAACAAATTCCTGAGTTCTGGAGATACCATCTAAGAGAAAAAGTAAACAACCAATTATTGACCTGCTATGAAAAAACATACTCTTTGGCAATATAATAACTATAATCTTCTTTCCATCTAAAGATAATGAGATATTCTTGTGTTTTTTTTTTCTATTTTTTCGTCATTTTGACATGCGTTCGTGATCAATATTTGCCTTGTTTTTTGTCTAATCATCTATGTTCTTTACATCATTCCAAATGTCAGTAAACCTTAGCTTCAATAATTAGTCACTGAGCATTAGGCAGTCATAGTTCTGATCTATAACGCCACAGCAATCTTTATTATAGGTTATTGAGTTAGTTGGCACCAAAATTGACAGATTCCTGTTTTCATATTCCATTAAGGACAATGCTTCTAACTAACTGTCTTCTTTACTGCTATTACAACAACTATAAACGGGAACAATTTCAATATGGAAACTTTTCCCACTGAAATTCAATTCTATGTGATCGAGAAATAAGCAAAAATAACCCTCTCATTAAAATGTTCATGTTTGTGATTTATATTTATGTCTGACAAGATACTGCTATGGATTTAGAATGGGATATTTTTCTCTTTAAGTTTGTGGTATCAAACTAAAGTCTGAATTGTAGATCTGGTTACTATGCATAAAACTGACTAAAAATTAGTACCAGTAATACAGAACTATTTTTCTTGCAGTAAGCAGCTAATTTGTAAACAATATTGAAACCAGGCCAACCTATAATGATTCCATGATGGGGTCATCAACCATAATTCTTACAAGAAAACATAAAATAAATCAAAGTTGGTAGCGAATTCCTCAAAAAGGATGTTTGTCAGTGGTTATAACTTTCCTAGGAATTTTTTAGTCACAAATGAAAATGTCAAAACTGACAAATTATAGTGAAAAGTGTATTATATAATACATAAACTGTCCAATCGATCTAATAAACATATTACTTTAACAGATTAATTTAACAATGAGTGAATTAATTTTAAGGCTGAGTAGAATTTTATAATGAAAAATGAGACAATATGTCTATTTCAAAACACTTGCTAAGATTAAATTTCCTTGTGAGAGATCACCTATGTGAAAGTATTAATGGTTGACAACTTGACACCAGTGTATAACAACCTATCCACAAGGAGCATTATGTAACATGTATTAAATTTTTCAGGCGTTTACTCATTGGAACAATATTACTCCGGAGAGTTATGTGTATCCAAACAATACACAGTAATATTAGACATAACAAGAAAATTTGATTGCAGATTTTGTCGTTATTTCAAACAAAAAAGTTTTTAATTGAACGGTATTGACATTGGCCTCTTCAGGGCATATGATACAATTACAGGGGAGATAATGACTTTTCTAACGTTAAATGTTATTTTTCGTGATGTCAAACTGTGAAATATTGGGAAAAGATGCATTTTTCGACTAATTATAATCATTAGCTCAAAAATGAGTACATAGACCCCTCTTTCTGAAAATGACATTTGGATTGATTATGTACGAAGATTAGTTGTACCAATTTTTATGAAAAAATCACTGATGCATTTTTTTAAATTTGATAAATAAATGCTGTTTTTTTATTAAATCATAAACATCTAAAAAAAGATAAAATTATTTCCAAAGAAAGCATAGTTATGTAAAGAAGATATTTTAAATATTTTACAAAAATCCGCTTGTATTTATCTTTTTTAAACAAAAAAGTTAGGTATGTCTGTCCAAGGATAGTTATGTCCAAGAAACTGAAATTTTGAGTAAATATCTAAAATTACGATCCCATTTATCTGCAAAAGTAGCAATTTTTTTTTATTCCATATTTGAATTGACTAGATGAAAAAAAGCTTGTATGCAAATTTTTGTTGAAAAATCACAGTGGGATCGAAACTGTATGGAATGCCCTTAAAATGAGCATTAGCTGTCAAATACATGTTCACCAATTTGACTCAAATTCTCATATTTTATTTATAACATACTAAAACGTATATCCAAATTACAAAAAGTCTAAAATAAACAATTATCAATGCATGGACTCGATCAACATTTGGTTTGTATTTTAGTCAAGATGCCATCTAATTAACCATCGAGATGACCTCTGAAGACTGCCCACGGTCATATTACTCGATATAAAAATAAATATAAATATAAACAGATAGTGACCACGTGCAATTGGATTTTTCTTTGTCTGTTTGATTTCATAGGGTAGGTTAAAAAGTATGTTCATCTTAATTTTTACTTGTATAAGAAAGATTTTTTTGTGGATCTAATTAGTCAATTAAATGGTTCATCCTTGTTTCAATTTCAATGTTGACATTCTTTTCCTTTTAATAGCCAAATACATGCGTAACCCATGTCCAGCTAAGGGGTTAAATTGAAGGTCACATGAATACGGATTCAATGAGGTCGAATTATTCACTTGCAAGTGAATAATTCATCAGCGATGTTTCTTAGCTTAATCTGACAAAATTGAACCAAATTGGCTTCTAAAAGCGAATTAGTATTTCACTATTTCACTTTCATTAATGATTGAACAAAAAAAAAATCATATTCTAATTTTTTTTAAACTCGTAGCTAATGCCCCTTTAAGAATGTTTTTATGTCTTCTATTATTTAAAAAAACAAACATTGTCTTCCTGCGTTTTAAACCTTAGAGAGATTGTCATGGCCAAGTCATTGTTAATCTATTTGTCAATCCATCAACTAATCAATTCTTAATGTTCCACAACACTTCGTTAGAGATAAACAAAAAACCAATAAATAATACAGATAAAACTATAATCAATACAAAGATCTGATGTCCACTTACTGTGACAAAGAATGGTACTGTGTTTATCAGCTCCAGAATAAACTCCACTGATATGATCTGCTGAAGAATATTGCCCTTAAAAGTAAAATATATAAAATATTACTCCATACAACCATATTAAATCTGAAGAATATTCCCATAAAGAATTAACTGAACTACATAATAACAAGTAAAAAGTTTATGTAGACAATTCCATAAAATATTCATATGCATAGCATAAATTATCTAGGTGGGGAAAGAATGATTCATTTATCAAAAGGGGCATAACTTCTCAAAATGACATTAACTTAAAGGTAAACACCAGAATGGTGGCACTTCTTTATATTGAAAATTAAAATAACAAGTAAAAAGTTTATGTAGACAATTCCATAAAATATTTTGGTTCCTAAAAACTCAGTTAATGACTGATGACAGTTTTCCTCAGATAGTCTGAAGATCTCTTACTTCCCTAACTTTAGAAAGTTTAGAATGAAAAACTAGATGTATTGAAAATCTGAAAATCAATTTTGAATTTGAAAACTATTACAGAAAATCTGTTAATGTCCTTTCAACGTCAAAAGGAATATGTAACAGTAGAAAGCTCATTATTTTTACATAATGTTATCATACTTAAACTTAATGCCATACTTAGTGTATCATATGAAAAGAGAGATTACAAATTATTTATACAGCAACAAATTAGAATTCTATAAACCTGTTTATATTGTTCAATAGAGAATTATTCCAATTGTTCATAGTTTAGAAGAGAGAATTATAGATGTAAATTTTCAGTATAGTTTTTTGATTCATCAATAACAATTAATACATGTAATTCATGGTAACTCAAATTTGTTGGGGAAAACCAAGAATTGTTACAATATCTAAGCCTGCAGAAACAAAGATTAATTACTTAGCAGTAACCTTAAATGTGCTATCTGAGGAATCTTAGCAGTAACGTTAAATGTGCTATCTGAGAATCTTAGCAGTAATGTTAAATGTGCTATCTGAGGAATCTTAGCAGAAACCTTAAATGTGCTATATGAGGAATCTTAGCAGTAACGTTAAATGTGCTATCTGAGGAATCTTCTAATATAAAACAAGAACATTGCATGTAGAATTGGTTTCTGTTTCAAGACAATATTGACTGGCTTGATGAGACAAAACAAACCAATACCAGTTATTGCTTACAATTTTGGTTAATATATTTGGCATGTATTTCTAAAAGTGCATATAATAAACATGTGTACTAAGTTTAAGGCTGATGTTACCACATCTTTGCTAGCTAAGGATTACAATCCAGTCCCCTCCTCTCACCACAACTTCATGGTAAACTACCTTAATCAAAAACTTTAACCTGATTAGAGACAGATAAACAGAAAGATGACAGAGCAGAAAACAGTACTGAAAAACTGGCAATTTTTTTACAGATTTTTTTTTTGTTGTTGTCAAAAACATCCCAAAAGTCCAACAGATCTTAATGGGCTTTGCTCATTGTTAATTTCTGTGTCATTTCGTCTCTTGTGGAGAGTTGTCTCATTGGCAATCATACCACATCTTCTTTTTATATTAAATATATTGGAAGTGGTTTGTTATCTTTTTTATTCCTATTTATTTCATTTGCTATCTCCTGTGTCAGGTTTTGTAATTGTAGTTTTCTTGTATCTGAAAATCAAAAAATCAAACTGACACTAGGGAATACTCTAATGGTTTTACATTAATTGATAAATTACCTATAATAAACCTGGGGATAAATTGACAACTCTACAGTAATGAAAAATGCTTGTTTGAAATCAAAACAAAACTATCAAATAGGTTAATACATTGTATATGTATGGCTTTGGTTGTAAAATGTTTTTTTTTATCAAAATATATGGCTTTTATTGGCCAATACCAGTAAATATGCCATCTTCATTTTTTTACTTTTATGGATAAATCTGCCAGTTAATAAATGTATAAAGAGGGCTCTACACAAATTTTTATGACACATATCTGTATTAATGACCTGATTACATTTATGTGTGTTTAAATCTGTAAAAACTTTTTCAAACAAATGAAGCTTCCGTATTGATATTATGCAGAAACACTAATTCAAAAAATCTAGTGATTGTTATTTCAATCAATCAAATCATTTTCCATTTGTTTGTTTTAAAAACTAAATAGTCATTCCATGCTAAGAGTCGTTATTAATTTTTATCAATATTTACATAAATCCATGTTGGGTGTTTCTATGCATTGGTTTGATGATTTTTATAGGAAGTATCTGGTTTTGTCTGTTTACTCTATGAATGATTTCATCAATTCCTTATTCACACAACTCTATAATTTTATACAGTCAATGGCCTAATGATGACTTTCATTTTTCAATATATCATTCAATGAAAGCTAAAATCAACCCAATTTCACAGAAATTACTTTTATCAAATATTTTTTTGTCGCAATTTAAGCTACAGTTTTTTTACAATTTCCAACTTAAAAAAGATACTTATAGATATCAAGATGCAGGCCCCCTAAGTCAGGAACCTTGTCAGTTATTGTTGTTTTTTCATTATTTTGAGAATGGTGTATTAACGGCAGATCTATGATTTCTGTTTAATTTATTTATCACGTTTATAGATGATTTAGCACTTGACCTTTTGTATAGACACCTATCTTTTGTAGAAGAATGAAGTTGTCTTCTAGATGTCTTCTGTTATTTTTTTTTCTGTGGGTTGCTGTCTAATTGACTTTATACTCCCATTTTCATTTATTCATATAAATGATAAATATTCAGATTTTAAGTGTAGGGCAAGGTCCGCCAAGAACTTTTAAAATTTAATTTTAATTACTATAATGTTGTTTATCTTTCTCATTGACAGATCCTCATCTCCTTTTATTCATATTCTTATAAGTTATTTATATTCAGAATTATAATGAAATTTCATTAATCCTCCAACTTTCTAATTGCAGTAAATGCATTTTCCAATAGTCTCCTATGGTACCTGTACACTAAATATATGTAAACTTTAATAGTACAGTTGTAAGTCAACCTTTTGATGAAATTTTGCTTGCTTTACTGTAATCAAATAATAAATTGTGTTCAAGTAAATACAATGCTAATATTGTATTGGGCCATATGTACTACTGAAACCATAATTAAGTTTTAAGCTGTCACAAGATATAACAATCACTCATATTTGATGGATCAACAGCAATTCAATCTGCTAAATAAACAATGGCTTTAAGATGTCAAATCATTAATAAAATGGCAAACAGCTGAAACAGTGACAAATATTCTGTAGAAAAAACTGTTATGATTTCAGAGGACTAAACACATTTTACTGGAATAACCTTCACCCATTACCCTAATGATTGAAAGTAAATTTAATTCAATCCTATCTGAAATCTTTATAGTAGCAGTCTTCATTATTGATATTGTACTACAAAAGCATTGTTTTGCACATATAGAGCAACAATTTTCTTTAATAGTCATTATCTGTGTAGAAAGGTGACAGCATTTCCTGTTTCTGTCTGATGTATTGAAACCTCAGAGTTAATATTAAAAATTATTTCAAGCATGAATTGGAAATAATAACATTATGACCTTACAGATGGGATACAAAATACAAAATGGGTTGTCTCTGATTGACTGAACAGTGTACCCATTGAGAGAAGACAAACTGGAGTATCTATCATATGGCTGATAACTGAAGCCACCTTATATTCAAAATACCAAGGAAACCATTTGAATTGTCTTTGACAAGATGACATATTATCAATGGTATAGCTAAGATAATGAACAAAGATGGTTCTGACAGATACTTATAGCTGAAAAAATTCATCAAAGCTACAAGGTTTATAATCTTATACACAAGACACTGGCTTCATCTATATAAGACCAATTACTGGGCTAAAATCAAAACAGTTGAAAGGACAACTCAATAACAAACTAAAGAGCAGTGCAAACCAAAAATATTTTATTAAATTGTTCAAAATCTGACTAAAGCCATCTATGCTGGGTATAGATCTAGCTGACAAATGAACAAGGATTGTCTCTGCCAAACTAAAACATGGACCTAACTTATAGCTGAGATATTGAACAGGGATTGTCTCTGCCAGACTGATACATGAACCTACCTTATAGCTGAGATATAAAACAAGGATTGGTTCTTCCAGACTAAAACATGAACTTACCTTATAGCTGAGATATAAAACAAAGATTGTCTCTGCCAAACTAAAACATGAACCTACCTTATAGCTGAGATATAAAACAAGGATTGTCTATTCCAGACTAAAACATGAACCTACCTTATAGCTGAGATATTGGACAAGGATTGTCTCTGCCAGACTGATACATGCCACACTAACTTGAACAGCCCACAACACATCGTCTCTGTTTACAAAAAGTATGTGATTCCTGTAGTAAAGAAAGTATACAAAATAAACATACAGTGATTACCAAATTATGTATGAATAGAATAAGATATGTGGTACACGTCTATGAGACAGTGACTTAAACACATTCAAAAAGGCCCAAAGATATCCAGAGAACATCAAATGTCAACATCACTTTTTTATTATAAAGCAGAAAAAAATTTAGGTAAACATTTTCACAAAAAATTCAATCACACATTTACATGTGGCAGGGGCTAAGCTAGTTTTCTGGAACACAGTCCTCTGATCTTGAAAATGAATAGAGGTCATCACTTCATGATAGACCAATAATACACAATATAATTTTAATCTGGAATGAAATGAGATATTTAGTAGTGGACATATATACCAATGCATTGTAATGTTCATCATGATGCTTATCAATAATTGAAGAACATATGGTGACCTTGAGATGACAGCTTTTGGTGAAATTAGGTCATTGATATTGATCCCACATCTTCTTCTATTCATATATTCAGTATTAACTCTATAGTTTGGAAGCTTATCAATCCAATATCACAAAATAAAACATGTATTCTCTACATCACAATTGGTATCTACACTATCTGCTGGTATTAATGGATGAAATTACTGTAGTCTCAATCTTATTGTCTCTGTCTAAATTGATAAACATATATGCCATAGAAATGTCAGCAATATTTCATACAAATTAAATATTAAAACCATGACAGTCTAAAAATATCATGTGTTAATACTTATTATCTGAATTTAGGACGGTCTTTTCTAGGCTGATACTATTTGAACAGTCTACAGCATACATATTGTATATGTGATTCATGTTTGAACTAAATGTAAAATGAACAAATTTGAAATTCCTATCGTAAGCATATCTAATTGTATTTATGAATAAAAGGAAATGTGGGTTATATGCTAATGATACAGCAACCCAACCACACAACTTATTAAAAAAACATCTAGAGGTAAACAATGTTATTCAGTAAATTAAAAAGATTATGACATGTTTTACATCATAAGGACTTTAAAAGTAGAGGTCCAAGGTTTTGACTACCAAAGTTTTGCAAAGGTCAGAAACAGTTTTGGTATTTTGCAATGGAAATAATAGTGAAGACCAGCAGATTTTCTTCAAGAACAACAACTCTGTTGAATAGTACTTATCAGCTAATGAAAGGACTGTGTATCAATTCATTTGGATCTGTAGGCCTATGTCTCTATGTAAATATTTTCAAATTAACATTGGACACTGAATATATACCCAACCAACAGGAAGTTTAGATGACCTTGAATTACCACCTACTATGACCTGACTGTTAATTTTGAGTGGAGAGAAACATTAAGAGTTGAGACCTAGCAATAGCAGGACTATTTCTAAATTCAGCTGCATGGTTGATGATGATTGACTGTTGGCTGCTTATTAAACATCCAGTGGCAAATATTTCATACCTGTTCAGTATGAGTATTCAGCATGGTCTATAAATCTATGACAATGTTTACCAAACCTTTGAGATGACCCTGACTTACATGTTAATAACAGGATTGTGTCTGAATTCAGAAGGGTCTATAAAAACCCTTGAGATGACCTTGACTTGCCAGTTAACAAACATTCTGAGAGTATTGCATGGCAATACATAGTCCCCTACCGGTGAAAAATTCATTGTACTGGAACAAAATGCTATCTTGATCTATAACTTGTCATGGTGTAAACTATATACCAATTATCAAATCAATATTTTCAAGCATGACGAAAAAAAGTGTGGAAAACTGATTATTTGAGTGAATTTTCTAAGTCTTTCTAAGTCCAAGGACAATAACTCTGCACAAACTCATCAGACCGGAACAAAATTTGAACTTGATCTGATAAAACTATATAACACATATAAGTCAATATCTTGAAGTATGACGAAAAAAAGTGTGGAAAACTGATCAAGTGAATTTTCTAAGTCCAAGGACCATAACTCTGCACCAAATCATCAGACTGGAACAAAACTCAAACTAGATCTGTAAGTTGTCATGAATAAACAATACACAAAATATAAAATCAATATCTTCAAGCATGAAGAAAAAAAGTGTGGAAAACTGATTTGCCAGACTGACAGATGGACAGACAGACGGACGGAGTGCAAACCTAAAGTCCCCTTCGACTTCGTCAGTAGGGGACTAATAACAGGATTGTGTCTGAATCCAGAAGGGTCTATAAAAACCCTTGAGATGACCTTGACTTACCAGTTAATAACAAGATTGTGTCTGAATTCAGAAGGTCTATAAAAACCCTTGAGATGACCTTGACTTACCAGTTAATAACAGGATTGTGTCTGAATTCAGAAGGTCTATAAAAACCCTTGAGATGACCTTGACTTACCAGTCAATAACAAGATTGTGTCTGAATTCAGAAGGGTCTATAAAAACCCTTGAGATGACCTTGACTTACCAGTTAATAACAGGATTGTGTCTGAATTCAGAAGGGTCTGTTAATCGATGACATTGTGATGAGGCATTAGCACTAGCTGAGTCATTGTCGTTACTGTAATAAATAAAAATTCTTCATGTATTTCATTACTATATATTGTTTAAAAATTTATAAATCAAAATCACTTGTAATGCAATCATTTATGCCTTTTGTTCTAGTTACATCTTTCAATACTCAACCCCATATTGGATTAGGCTATGTCATGCAATGTATAAAGAACACAAATAATTTTTTTATAATCAACATATCCTGTTTCAATTTGCATTTGATTTCTTATAGGGATCCAATTATCTCGTTTTCTGAATATTGATGCTCTGAGTCACAATTATGAAGCTTTTTAGTGAATTACAAATAAACAGGATAATATTTAACCTTGATATTGTGTGGGACTGCTAAGTATTATAAGATTTCTATGTTTGAAAATGTGATGATCAAATAGTGAAATTGTATTATTATATATGGTTTTCATGTAATAAAATAAAGGTTTCCTTTGCTTAAACAGCTTAAAGAAAGCAGATTTGCTAAGTTCAGCTCAACAAGCTTACAAAAAGCAGACTTGCTAAGTTCAGCTTAACATCTTACAGAAAGCACACTTGCTAAGTTCAGATTAACCAGCTTACAGAAAGCAGACTTGCTTAGTTCAGCCCAACAAGCATTCTGCTAAAAATGTAACATACTTACAGAAAGCAGACTTGCTAAGTTCAGCTTACAAAGATTACAGAAAGCAGACTTGCTTAGTTCATCTTAACAAGCTTACAGAGAGCATACTCACTAAGTTCAAGTTAACCAAATTACAGAAAGGAGACTTGATAAGTTCATCTTAACAAGCTTACAGAAAGCAGACTTCTTAAGTTCAGGTTAACCAACTTACAGTAAGTAGACTTGCTAAGTTCAGCTTAACAAGCATACTTGCTAAGTTCAGGTTAACAGGCTTTTGAAAAGCAGACTTGCTAAGTTCAGCTTAACAAGTTTACAGAAAGCATACTTTCCAAGTTCAGCTTAACAAGCTTACAGAAAGCACACTTTCCAAGTTCAGCTTAACAAGCTTACAGAAAGCAGACTCGGTAAATTCAGGTTGACAAGCTTACAGAGAGCACACTTGCTAAGTTCAGGTTATCCAACTTACAGAAAGCAGACTTGATAAGTTTAGCTTAATAAGCTTTCTGAAAGAACACTTCCTAAGTTCCTCATAACAAGTTTACAGAAAATAAATATGCTAAGTTCAGGTAAACAAGCTTACAGAAAGCACACATGCTAGGTTCAGGTTAACAGACTTACAGAAAGCATACTTGCTATGTTCAGCTGAACAAGCTTACAGAAAGCAGACTTGCTAAGTTCAGGTTGACAAGCTTACAGAGAGCACACTTGTTAAGTTCAGGTTAACAAACTTACAGAAAGCAGACATGCTAAGTTCAGCTTAAAAAGCTTTCAGAAAGAACACTTCCTAAGTTCATCATAACAAGTTTACAGAAAATAAATATGATAAGTTCAGGTTAAGAAGCTTACAGAAAGCAGACTTGGTAAGTTCAGGTTAACAAGCTTACAGAAAGCAAACATGCTAGGTTCAAGTTAACAGGCTTACAGAAAGTATACTTGCTATGTTCAGCTTAACAAGCTTACAGAAAGCAGACTTGCTAAGTTCAGGTTAACAGGCTTACAGAAAGCAGACTTGCTACATTCAGCTTAACAAGCTTACAGAGAGCACACTTGCTAAGTTCAGGTTAACCAACTTACAGAAAGCAGACTTGCTACGTTCAGCTAAATAAGCTTTCAGAAAGAACACTTCCTAAGTTCATCATACCAAGTTTACAGAAAATAAATATGCTAAGTTCAGGTTAACAAGCTTACAGAAAGCAGACTTGCTAAGTTCAGGTTAACAGTCTTACAGAAAACAGATATGCTAAGTTCAGCTTAACAGTCTTACAGAAAACAGATATGCTAAGTTTAGCTTAACAGTCTTACAGAAAAACAGATATGCAAAGTACAGCTTAACAGTTTTACAGAAAACAGATATTCCAAGTTTTGCTTAACAGTCTTACAAAAAACAGATATGCTCAGTTCAGCTTAACAGTCTTACAGAAAACAGATATGCTAGGTTCAGCTTAACAGTCTTACAGAAAACAGATATGCTAGGTTCAGCTTAACAGTCTTACAGAAAACAGATATGCTAGGTTCAGCTTAACAGTCTTACAAAAAACAGATGTGCTAAGTTCAGCTTAACAGTCTTACAGAAAACAGATATGCTAAGTTAAGGTTAAGAATTGTCAACAGCAGATACCAGAAAATATAAGAATTATTTTCAGTCAAAGTTTTCTTAAAAACTTATAAAATGTGACCATTTAGTTGTTTTTGTGATCATTATGTGATATAATAAGGCTATCCAGATCCTCCAGCATCATGAAAAACAAGAATGTGTCCTTAGTACACGGATGCCCCACTCGCACTATCATTTGCTATGTTCAGTAGACAGTGAAATTGGGGTCAAAACTCTAATTTGGCATTAAAATTAGAAAGATCATATCATAGGGAACATGTGTACTAAGTTTCAAGTTGATTGGACTTCAACTTCATCAAAACTACCTTGACCAAAAACTTTAACCTGGAGCGGGACAGATGGACGAACGGACGAACCAACAGACGAACGAACCAATGAAAGGACGCACAGACCAAAAAACATAATGTCCCTCTACTATCATAGGGGGGCATGAAAATAACTGAAGCAGAAATTTTATTAAATATTGCAATAAAATATTAGCTTTTCAGAATGCTAATTCAACCAAACCTTGAAAAATGTGACCATTTGGTTGTTTTAAAGATCATTGTATGATAACATGAGGCATAATCTAATTTCTCCAGCCTAATGAAATCAACAACACCATGACTTAATATGACTGTTGTACATGTACTACTTAAAAAAATTAACAAAAATTATCAAATATTGCAATAGAACTTAAAGCTTTTCATACTTAATTCTAAACACATCATTATATAATAAATGATTATGTCACTTCTGGATTTAAAGTAAAGACAACTCAAAAAGACAAGAGATATCTTTATTACATCTGGTGTACACAGCTGATTATGGAACTGACAAGCAGATAGCAACAAAGGGAAAAGATTAAAGGAAAAGAACAATTTACATCAGATATCTATATGGTGATCATAATTCTAGATAGATATGTAAATGATCAGACAGAACCATCTACAATGCAATGCCAGCTGGTCACATTTGAAAGCATGAGTTTGTTTGATTGGCTAAATGTCTCTTTGCAGGTATAACTGAATGACTTAGATGTCTGATTTCCTGTTATTACACAATAAATAAGAAATTTCACATTCAAAATGGTTTGGAAACACATAAATGGAAAGGCAGTTAAATGACTGCTTCAGAAACAGGTTTTAGAAGACGTAATTGCAAAGCCATAAAAATACATTTACCATTAGCAAGCCATATTACATTCCTTTCATCCAACCAGACAAAAACAGAATCAAAACCTAAATCTTTTAGATAATTACTGAACTAAGAAAATGTCTAAAAACAACCGAAATACAAAATATATTGTGGTACATGATTGATTAGGACTTTGAGAACATTGTAAAAAAAATTCTGTGGACTCTTTTTATAATTCAACTTTATATATTATAATATTTTAGTAAATAGGAACAGTAATTAGCTGTTTATTACATTTTATCTCTAAGATCACCTGGGCTCTCGATCATAAAACCTTACTCAGTACTCGGAGTACAAAATTTGTGCTCGAAACAACAAATCCAGTGTTTTGATTGGCTGATTTCTGAGTCTGAGTACAATTATCGTACTCGAAAGTTTTATGACCGCAAGGCCTGTTCAACAGTAGGAACATATGCTCTGTAAAGAACAGACGACACTTGAATGTCAATTTTCCTGGTAAATTCAGATATTAACACAGAAATCTAAAAGAAACAGATTTACCTAATTACTATCATCTTTTCTATTCTGCAATTTAAATAAGTTACCTTAATTAGTAAGGGATAGTGAGTACATTACTACCAGACAAACTGCCAACTGGAGTGCACTATGATACAGTCAATGTTATATTTGTGTAATAATTATATAGATAATTAGCTTCTCATTTTGCATACTATTTCATAACAAACACATTCCTCCACAGATATTACAAAATAGTTTATACTATTTATATAGGGATTTTTCTGATGAGAAAAATTGCATTTATTTAAAAAATGAAACATTTTCCCTAGAAAAGATTGTGAAATAATCAGTCAGAGATCAATTATGAGCTTGCCCTTTTAAGTGGACAAAAATGTGGACATAGGTCAATCATTAGATGATCATATGGTTTATCTACATTTTTATTTTATCTTTATATTTGTATTGTTGGATTGCTGTTTCATTGGTGTTTCACTCCTTTAACCCACCGATTTTCAGAAATCTTCCGTAACTATTAACATTGTGCACAGCCTATTTCATCTTTTGATCTGTTTAAATTTGGGGCTTGGACTTAATCATATCTACAAACAGGACAAATGTGGGAAGGCATTTAGTATCCACAAATCATCCTATACAATTCTGTGGATTTCAATCAACATTTAAAGAATTTTTTCTGCATAAAGGACAGACACCTATTTTATTTTTTGGTCAGATTAATTTATTGGATTTCATACATTCATATCTGCTAAACATAACAAATGGCGGTAGGCTTGTTGTATACGGCAATAGCTGCTTAACCAGTCACTGGATTTCCAAGTGATTATACATATTCCACTCTACAACTTATGGCTCTGAGCTAAAAAATAAAAATCAATCTAGAAAAATGCTTCAAAATATCAAACTTTGGTATGCTTTACTTTGATTTACGGAATGACTAAAACTTACATAGGTTGATCCAGCAACATATGACAAACAAAATTATCTTTTAAAGTTCAGTATTATCCAGAAGAACGATTAAGATTATTAAATTTTCAAACTGACATTATGTAAGTAGCCTCTGGATTGTAACACAACTCCCTCATGGGAGGTCTCATTACAACATTAATTATGAAAATTAATTTCAGTA